GACCATATATAGGCATATCATGACCATATATAGGCACATCATGACTATATATAGGCACATCATTACCATATATAGGCACATCATGACAACAGTTTTTTGCCAAATAAAATTTGATAGTGTGGACAAAGCTTAAGGCACAGCATGTTACATGCAAGGCAGACATTTTATCATTAAAAAAAAAAAAAATCAAAATATAATAAAGTCAAGTCTCCTGTATGTTAATGTTCCTATCAAATACGAATGAGTTGCCAATTGTGTCATGAAAGATTTAATACAAAATTTAAGTATGGATTTCCATCTAATCATAAAAGGTCATGTAATTGAATATGATTTATGAATATGACAATAATTATGAAATAAGTATGAAATAAGTATAAATAATAATTGTTTTGGGAATTGATTGCCATTGGGAATGATATCATCCAAAGGGAATAGCGCACGTGCAGATATTTGCCCCTGGATTGACCTGTAACAGTTTTAGTGAACTCGTATTCTGTAATTTTTGCCAATAATGTGAAGTCCCTGTATAATTTCTACGTCTCTCTGACTGGCTGAGACAGCGCTTTTCTACTTGGCTAGGAAACAGCACATACTTGTTATACCAGCACAGCTTTTCTGCTCTGAACTGTTAATCACATTACGGCACCAGAAGGAAAGTATTTATATCGTATCGTATTAACGTTGTTGCACTTAAAAATCCTCTCAGATTTGTGCATGATGTGTTGAACTTCGTAAATGTATGTTATCTTGAAATATTATACTGATCAAATTGCAATCAGATTAAACATTCCTTATGAATAAAAAAAAAAATACTTCTCTCATATTCTTTGGCTGGTAATCAATGAAAGGATTTATTGAATATCTATAAATGAAAAAAATCTGGGAAGTAGAAAGTAATTTTAATTGAATTTTTGAGTGCTTCCAGATTAAAAGATATATCATTTATGCAAATTTATAATCATATAATTAAAATATTGAATGTAATTAACTAAAAAATGACAGCATCTGTTAATGAGGTTAATATAAAACAATCTCAATATAATTTATAAAATATAATTAATATTCCAAGTTGATCATTTGACAAAATGTATAGTTATATATTTTCCAATTTAACGACTTTCCATTTTGAAAAATCAGCTTTAATTATTGCAGCTTGTTTTAAAATAAAATTGGAAGTTATATGGCTATAATCATGGACCTATTAATAATCTTATTAATAGGTCCATGCTATAATATACAGAATAATGTACAAAAATGCCAATCACAGTGTTAATGTGCAGTTCGACCCTTTTACCATCATGCGATTATATGCCGTTACGACCAAAATACAGTCAAGTAAAGAAGCAAAAAGTGTAGAAGAGAAGAAACAATGGAACAAAAATATAGGATCAATGTTATCACTATGAGCATGCTGGGAATTTTCTTGTGCATTTGGGTTAATTTCTTGCATTCAATTGATGAATAGTAAACGACAAGCAAATAAACCTCTTACAGCTGACATTTTAGAAGCATTCCTACTTGCCCAAAGCTGGGAATTAAATTAAAACAAATAAATAGTCCAGTTAGTTCTAACTGAAAAAGAAAAGTTGTAACCAAATTATATGCAATAGCCCAAAACACTTTGTACAAAATGATGTGCACAAGTAGTTGTTGGAATGAAATTTAGTGAAATACAAAAATATATAATCAATTTAGAGAAACATATCAACAACTAGGAAATATAGGTGGGAAACAGGAAAAACAAGGAACATAGGAGATGTAGAAGGCAGAGACATAGAAGATGGAGAAACAACGAAACAAAACAGAAAATAAGGGATAGGAAAACAAAGAAAAACATGAGATTGAGAAAAATGGGGAAACAGGAGATGGGGAAATATTGTTGATTTATCTATAAAAGCTCACATATAATTTTATATTAACTAAAACAAACACTGAACAATAATATCACTAAATAGACAAGATATTGTTATATTTCAAAGCATATCCAATTATAACATTAAAGATTTAATAATAGCCATATTAATTACAATAATAATAAATGAGAACTAAATAAGTCAATAAATTTTTAATAATAGCAACATTATTTACAATAATAAATGAAAAATAAATAAGTCAATAAAGATTTAAAAATAGCCATATTACTTACAATAATAATAAATGAGAAATAAATAAGTCAATAAAGATATAATAATAGCAATATTATTTACCATTACAATAATAAATAAGAAATAAATAAGTCAATAAAGATTTAATAGCAATATTATTTACAATAATAAATTAGAAATAAATAAGTCATATTACAAGCAACATAAGGAACAGAAACTTTTCAAGATTTTATTAAGAGAAGAATAATAAAATTGACCATACTAAAAACATACGGATTAGAACACGCCACACTTTTCTTAACATTTGCTTCATAATAATATTATACACACTGCAAAAATAGCATAATCGATGCAATTCCTTGCATTGTAGTAAAAACATGCAGAGATATTGTGGTGCTGGAGTACAAATAATTTAGGACTACATTACAATCAAAACATAACTAATATTTAATTGTAAAGCAACAGAAAATTCCAAAATTTACAGTAAAATAGTGGCAAAGTTACAAATATTATTAGAGTAAAAAACACATGGCAAACTTACAGATCAACAACTGACTGAAAAACAATCTTCAATAGGTTAAACATGCACAAATAAGTAAACAGCATTAATGTAGCATGCAGGAATTAACACAAAATACAGCAAACTGTGTACATATATGAACCATTTTTGTTTTTAAACATTTTGCATTTTCATATTTAATTAGCTATTGCATCTGTATCTATTACACTGACCCTCTACAGCTAGACAAATATTATTTAACAGTAATCATCAATTCAAATCATTTAAAATATTTTCAGATATTTATCTTAATATTTTGGGTTCTTTGGTATTTGGCTGAAATGTTTAATGCATGTCATTTTTTTTTACGGTCCAATCACAATAGTCCTAAGTTACTATATAGACATTGATGAGCACAACAGCAATGAACATGTCAGTGAATAATTAAAATGTGATTACAAAAAACCAAAAGTAAGTATGTAAATATTACAAAACAGAATATTAAAGATTACCTTGCTTCCAACTCCAGCTTTGCGTGGATCAATTTTTTTGGTTGTGTGTAGCAAGTTATCGAAGTTATGGAAACTGTTAATGCTGACAAGGTCCTATAGTGATACATAATAACTACAATATTGAGATTGAAATAATGATAACTATACTATATCACTAATAATAATAACACTACACTACCACCACTCTATATCATTTATAGAAATTATGATGGTTGAGACAATGGCCAGGTGAGGACGAGTCCATTTTACAATTTGCACAAACTTTATTACTAGGAAAAATACAATGAATGCAAATTATATAATTTTTGTTTCAGATTGATATATTCCTTGAAATCAAACTGCCAGCCGTGTCTTTGTTGTGTAGACTGGAATGCTAGCGTGTTCAAAAAACAAGCAACTGTATTTTGTTTACATACAATTGTGCGATCAGGAACACTCTACATTTCTACCACGACGACCAACAACAACACAAACAATATAAGAACAACACTTGGAAGAACAAAAGCCTCCCAATTGTTAAGGAAGACATGACATAAATAATTACCCTGAGAAAATGTATTCCTCGCACACTGTTGCCATATGTATCTAACGGTGGAGACCACAGCATCACACCCATCACATTGGGAACAACCACCAGAATGCCTCCAGATACACCTGATTTTGCTGGAAGGCCAATCTATAATGTAATGAATTTTCTCTGTTAGAATTTAATGAAAAGACCTTCAAATCTGGTAAAAATTTTTACCAAAATCAGGTCCTTCCATTTTTAAATGGCAAACACTTTAGCACTATGAAAAACAACAAATCCTTGTCTCATTCCCCACCCCTTCCTCCCCGCATTTAGATATGGAAAGTATTGTAATAAATAAAAGAGTGTTTTAAAGGTAGTAATTGAGTTATAATTTTTGATATAATGATGGAGAATGTTCAATAGTTTTGGTGCAGTTGTTGCAATGGCTCCATCGCTAAGTGATGTGTGTTCTTAAAAGAGCACTGTATAAGCAGTTGCATACAGTTTTTTAACCAAGTTTGAATGAACACAGATGTCAAGTTTGGAGAATATTTTTTATATTTAATTTGACCATGTACTGGGGACCAGTGGAGGTTTTTCCAAGTCAGTGTAAGAGATACAAGATATTTTATTTTGTGACATAAAAAAATTATTTTCTTTTACAGGACTTTTACCTGAAAAGCAAATTGACCCGAGTAATCATACATCCCACAGGATGACATGATCGTCAACGTATCGCGGACTGCAGCTGGGTCCAGAACACGTTCACCAGTCAGAGGGCAAACGCCACCATTGGCTAGAGTGGCTGCGATCACGCTTCCTGATTCACTTGTCACTTCAATACTACATAACTATAAGAGGGAAGAAATAGGCAAATGACATTGTTATTACATGGAGGAAGAATATAATAAACATACAGTAAAGAAACCACTGTCATTCTGGTTTACTAGTGTCTATCAATCATATGGAATCATTTAATATTACCATACTGCATGCCCATCAAATTATACAATTTCCAGTGTTATTATGAAAGTATGTTACCTGGAAGTAGAAGTCCAAGATCTCTTCAACACTGGAATCGACTGGCAGTGCATTGTACTCCTTCATGAGGTAGGCAATGGCTCGATTTCGAAATGCTGTCTCCTTCTCTGATAAAAACCTATAATGGCAAAGGAAAGATAGTGGATAGGGGCAGGTTATCACGGGTTAGCACTCATGCTAGCTGCTCCTCGCGTTTCTTGTTTTTTTTACTATATTTTTTAGTGCAAAACCGACCTTTTGAACTTGTTTTCCCTGTTTTGCTGATTTAAATTGTCATTGTTTTGACTGCTGACCTTATATAATTCTATCATCTTGCCTCATTTTGAGTATTGTTGCGAAGTTTGGGGCAACTGTAGTGATACTTTGGCTGCAAAACTTCAAAGATTTCAAAATAGGGTGGGACGTGTTATCCTCGGTTGCAAATGGGATAAACCAGCTGCAACAGTGTTAGACAGTCTGAGCTGGCAAAGTTTGTATCTCGGTAGATCCAGGAAAGTGTCAATTTTCATGTATAAATCTGTCAAACTACTACTTATGCCCTTATATATTCAAAATCTTTTTAAATTTGAAAAACAAAGTCTTTACAGTTTGCGACATTTTGATTGCCTTAAACTCCATATTCCTAAACCTAACAGTAATTTCAAGAAACGTAGCATAGTGTATAGGGGTTCTCATCAATGGAATTGTCTCCCATTTGAGATTAGATCTTCGCCTTCTCTTTCGATCTTTAAATCAAAATTGTAATGTTATTCATATATTTAATTATTATTCTCTTATTATTATTATTATACTATATATAATTCTATTATACATTATATTATATTTGTCTTTTGGCTTTACACGACCATTTGTAAAACAACATTTGTGTTGAAATGCTATCGTGTCTAAATAAAATAAATGAAATGAAATGGTAGTAAAATAGCTACAATGCTGGTAAACTACTAAGCAATACTTTAACAATTATATTGTGCTTAACTTAATAACTTATTTTTAAGTCAAAATAATCTTTCAAAAAATTGAAACAACCTATAACACTGATTCTGTCATTCATCTCAAAACCATATTGGAGCACATGGTGTAACAGCAGTTAAAATATTAAACCACCATGATATATTGACATGTATTTCATTTTCATTTCATTAATTTCATCATACATACAACAAAAACAATCCAAGCAATGAAAATCAAAACAGACCTAAAATCCAAATTAGGAAAAACAAAAAGGAAAACTGAATTGCTGTACAAAGTGTCTCCGCTGGTTTAGTAAAAATATATGAAATAAATATATCTAAAAGAAACAAAAAACATTTAAACACTCAATATTAACAAGTTCAAAATGTATGCAGTGTTGCAGAGCAGTTTATGGTAATGCACTGTTAACATCGTGTCACTCCAAATTCAAAACGAGACATGAGAACTCCCTGAGAATAACAGTGGGATCGCACAGCAGAGACCCAATAAGTGTCAGAAAAAGCAACTATAACCGTGACAACACCACCAATGGTATGACATTATTAAAGGATATACAATTATAGGGTGCGTTCAACTTACGTCGCATTGCTGAATCCAACAAACTCCCCTCCACTCAAGCGACTGAACTGTTTGGTAGTGAAATCAAAGCTGTCTGCAGGACTCCAATCAGCCTAAGACATAGGAAAAAAGGTTCTAATTTTACAAATCCTTCTTGACAAGCATTACAACTTTTGGCACTATCCAATTAAATGGAATTAGTATAACAACATCAAGAAAATAATACACGATATATATTCTAGTCCATGAAAAGGAAGCCTTTGACTCACTCAATAAAAAGAAATTTAACAGAATGTTTTACACATTTTTTTGTTCACATCAATCAAAATCAAAGTTCAACACAATATTAAAGAACAGAACAAAAAATCAAGATTTTTAATTTAAGAGAATATACAAACATTTAAATTCAACTGAAGTACAGGGCAGCTGGTGAAATCTAGGGCTAGCTAACAGATAACTAAATTAAGGTACATCCAAACATTTTGATAAATGAGACTAGATTCATCATGAACCATGATATTCACTTTTCATTTACCTTTAAGAGTGCTGATACCAAAATGCCACCTGAATTCAGCAGCGGATTGTGAGGTTTGTCTGAAAGAAGAATTAAAAAAAAAAATTTCCGTCACATTTAATAGCAACTACACACCACTTACAGTATGGAATGATGCTTTATAAACCAAGTCTTTTTAAGAGGCTTAGGGAGTGGAGTCGTTTTTAGTGGTGCTGTGACAGAAATTGAACCCAGGATGCTGTGCTAAGGTATTCAACTCCACTCAATTTAAATAAATATTAAAACAGCAAATACACTGACCAATTACAGGATGCAGCAATGAAACAAGTCTCTTTAGTTATAAGAAAAGAACCTGGTATCACAAGATTTGTCACAGTGCACCCTTCAATGTGAGACCCCTCTATTTTTGAGGCCCTCCAATTTGAGACCACTTTTTCAAAGAATTAAATAACAATCATTAATCTTTTAACACAAAGCTAACCCTGTAAGTGGAGACAAATTCAGAGACCACTCCAAATTTTCAGGTCCCAAAGTGGTCTCGAATTGGAGGGCGAACTGTATATACTGTACATCATATTATCTTACGTTGTGCATTTAAGGCAAGTTCATTAAATGGTTTGCCACTTGGTTCAAATCCTATGAACTGATGCACGTAATCAGACCCCTTTGCAGTGACAGCCAAGGCGTACGCTGGGGCCTTGCAACACGATTGAAGACAGAAAGCCTGTTTTGTATCTCCTATGTTAAAACGTTGGCCATCAATGGTACAAACAGACACAGCCCAGTGGGCAGGGTCTTGTCGTGACAACTGTGGTATATAGGTTGCAACCTGAAAATGATACCAAACAACAATACAGATTAAATACAATACAGGGTTCAAAAAGAAAAAGTTAAATAATGTATAACATTATAAAAAATTGTTCTGCTGTGGGCCACAATGGCATTTTAAAATCGGGGTTGCTCGATTGGTAACCTTTTTTCATTGGTCATTTTCTCAAATGGTTTATTAAAATTGTATCTCTGATAATGGTGTGACGTCGGTACATTAAGAAACCAATTTTCGCCTTGATTTGATTATAACAATAAAGTTTACCTATCTTATCTTTTACTATTGGTCTAGGCCTAAATCAAGGATTCAATACCGTCATCCTCATGCATTCTGGATGATAAAATCTTAAATGCAGGACTAAAAAACTCCACAATTTGTTGAGTTGGTAAATCAGGCTTGTGGGCAAACAATTTCTTTTTTTGCCATTCTATGAATTTTTGAATATAAAAATATTGTTTGGTTTATTATTCATTTGAATTAAGAGTTGAATGAATTTTTTTACCTTGCCAGACGAATTACCATTGGCATCATTATATAAATGTTCAAGATTTTCACTAAAATCTTTGAAATCAGGAATGATAAATTTATTTGTAAGAGCTCTTTCAATCAGCACAATATTATCTGTAATACAGCTGGAAAGAAAAAGTTGCACTTTTGTTACTATTTATTTGTATTTAGGTATATATATATACAATGTATACATTGTATTAAGGAACATTCAAAAAGTTACTCTGCTCATAATAGGATAAAAAATATCATTTTTTAAACTGCAAAATTGTTTTTGATATGATAAAATGTTTTTTCAGAACTTTGAATCCATTATATTGTTGACATGTTTTAATCTTGTAATGGGGTGTTCCATTTACAAGCATTATGCTTCTGGAAAAACTGAAATGTCCAATGATTAATCTCAGATAAGATAGTATACAGTAATACATACTCCAAGTATTAATTAATAATTAATGTTGAAATATTGAATCCCGACACAATGGCATGCATTTCGATACTTGGAGTATGTATTATACTATCTTGCTTTTGGAATTTCTCCTTTTCTTTGACTGCTTAAATTTTGTAATATTATCTATGTTTATTGTATGTTTTATCTATTGATGTTCAAGAAAAATAAAAGAAATTGTCATTGTCATTGTTAAGTTGAATCAGCCATCAAGTTTCCCAGCTATTCAAGTTTCTTTATTGTCTGTAATACATAAAATATAAACAGAAAATTGGATTACTTGGCAAGATTTAAGTTAGAAAAGAAATTCAACTGGTTCAACATTCAAAAAGTTACTCTGCTCATAATAGTATAAAAAATAACATTTTTTTAAACTGCAATATTGTTTTCGATATGATAAAATGTTTTTTTTTAAGAACTTTGAACCCATTATATTGTTGACATGTTTTAATCTTGTAATGGGATGTTCCATTTACAAGCATTACGCTTCTAGAAAAACCGAAATGTCCACTGATTAATCTCAGATAAGATAGTATAATACATACTCCAAGTAACGAAATGCACGCCATCGTGATGGGATTCAATATTTCGACATTAATTATGTCATCATCAGCAATGACGATGACATAATTAATTCCTGGTGATGACATAATTAATATTGAAATATTGAATCCCGACACGATGGCGTGCATTTTGATACTTGGAGTATGTATTATACTATCTTATGCTTCTGAAATTTCTCCTTTTCTTTAACTGCTTAAATTTTGTAATATTATCTATGGTTATTGTATGATTTATCTATTGATGTTCAAGGAAAATAAAAGAAATTGTCATTGTCATTGTTAAGTTGAATCAGCCATCAAGTTTCCCAGCTATTCAAGATTCTTTATTGTCTGTAATACATAAAATATAAACAGAAAATTGGATTACTTGGCAAGATTTAAGTTAGAAAAGATATTCAACTGGTTCAACATTCAAAAAGTTACTCTGCTCATAATAGTATAAAAAATATCATTTTTTTAAACTGCAATATTGTTTTTGATATGATAAAATGTTTTTTCAGAACTTTGAACCCATTATATTGTTGACATGTTTTAATCTTGTAATGGGATGTTCCATTTACAATCATTATGCTTCTGGAAAAACCGAAATGTCCACTGATTAATCTCAGATAAGATAGTATAATACATACTCCAAGTATCGAAATGCACGCCATTGTGATGGGATTCAATATTTCAACATTAATTATGTTATCATCAGCAATGACGATGACATAATTAATTCCTGATAATAACATAATTAATGTCGAAATATGGAATCCCGACACGATGGCGTGCATTTCGATACTTGGAGTATGTATTATACTATCTTATGCTTCTGGAATTTCTCCTTTTCTTTGACTACTTAAATTGTTTAATATTATCTATGATTATTTTATGATTTATCTATTGATGTTCAAGGAAAAATAAAAGAAATTGTCATTATCATTGTTAAGTTGAATCAGCCATCAAGTTTCCCAGCTGTGTGCAACGCAATATTGTTTTTGATATAATAAAACGTTTATTCAGAACTCTGAACCCATTATATTGTTGACATGTTTTAATCTTGTAATGGGGTGTTCCATTTACAAGCATTATGCTTCTGGAATTTTCCCTTTTCTTTGACTGCTTAAATTTTGTAATATTACCTATGATTATTGTATGATTTATCCATTGATGTTTAAGGAAAATAAAAGAAATTGTCATTGTCATTGTTAAGCTGAATCAGCCATCAAGTTTCCCAGCTATTCAAGATTCTTTATTTTCTGTAATACATAAAATATAAACAGAAAATTGGATTACTTGGCAAGATTAGAAAAGAAATTTAACTGGTTATGATTGTGTGAAATTTCTGACATTGCACCAGGTTAGAACCCAGAACCCTGAGATTGGAAACTGGGTACTTTAAGTACCATACCACAAAAACTATTTGTTTCCTGGGCTATATTTTTAACTCACCTTTTGAAAGATTCTTTATCAATGTAGCAGTTATCGTAATGGAGATTTTGATCTTTGGCAATTTGTCTGAATTTAGCAACTGACTCTTGTAGACGCGGATCTTTCAACTGTAATCCTTTAGAATTTAATACCTACAACAGAAACAAAATTCGCTGAGGAACAGCACAGGAGTGCCGAATGTATTTGATCAAACCAATTTCATGTCTAAAATGTCAATGTATACAAATAAAACAGCTTCATCAGCGAGAAGGCCACAGGAGTGGCAGAAATATCCGAGTTACTAATAAATCAGTGTTCTTAAAGTCTACTAAAGCTGTTTCATTTTTTTATATATACATATATATATATGTATATATATAGTATATGTATGTGTATATATAATATATGATATATATATTCATTTTCTTTTTATTTGTTTGTGTTTTTTCATGAAAATCGAAAATATTTACAATTTGGCAAATAAAGGTAAGAGCTAAGTAAGAGCTTGTACTTCTGAAATATTTGAATAAGTAAAGTTAGGAATTTTGGTATAAAGAAGGGAATGAGAGAGGAGAAATTAGGGTTTCGGTGTTGTATTCTTGGCGGAGAAGACTCAGAGAATCGAGGGGTAATTGCCTCATCAAAATGGTGTGTATTTAATCGATATAAATCACGTAGAAATTAAATTTCCCCATCTCAATTATTTCTAAGATTTCTTTACAAAATATTACTCAGACTCTAGTAATTAAGTGCAGGACACAGACACCTGCACTAATAAAATATTTTAATAATACATTTTAATTGTTATAGTTGGTAGGTTTTCTGATAATTATTATTGTTTATTTATGTTTATAGAAACCATGCTATTTAATATTAGTTTTTAATAATTCATATCGCTAAAGGAAAAAAAGAAGGCAATATTAGCCAGGGATAGAGGGCGTTTCTTATTATTGTAGCAACAACATGTTGCTATGTAAAACGTGCGTCACGTATCCTGTGACAACAACTTCTGGGGCATACGTCGTTTGGTACCCACAAAGCAAGGAGAGTTGCTTGTTTCTGTTAGTCGAAATAAAAAAAAAATACCCGTTCATAATGATGACAGAAAGTATATACAACCTTATTCCTCAAGAGGAAATCAGGCCTCCTAAAAAAGCAATGTAAGTAGTGGATATTATTATTTCTTTACAAAAATAATTAAGTTAGGCCTTTTCTAGGCTAGGCTAGGGCTTGCCCATCGCATTTTTTGCTGAACCCAGCACTGCACTCGAGCGAGGAGTGGAGTGCTGTGTCATGTCCTTAGCTAGGCATAGGCTAGAAAAATAGTCCCAGTCTCTCTAGCTTATCATTACTCTCTTAATTAGTCTTATTTATTAAATGATGTGTCTGAGAAAATAAAGTACTGCACAGGTAAGGGCATTGTCAGGTATCAGGTCAAAACGGCAATAAACCAAAACGGTAATGAACCAAAACGGCAATAATAATGACGAAGTAAGTACCAAAGCGGCAGTGACAAGTACCGTTTTGGTACCGTTTCCACTCCCCCCACCCCGCCAATCTTTTTAATATTGAATTTGTATTACTATTATTATTATTATTATTATTAATGATATTATTGCTGCTGTTATATGATTTAGCCTCATTTTTACCGTATTTAATCATAGTACACTTTCATTTTTATTATTAGTTTATTTTTTCGCGTTTTTACTTTTATGACATAAATTGTTTAACATCGTTTTGGTCTTGCCGTTTTTACTTATTGCCGTTTTGGTCTATTGCCATTCTGATCAAAAATTGTTGTTTTGGTTTTTTGCCGTTTTGGTCTTTGCTGTTTTTACTTATTACCGTTTTGGTGTATTGCCATTTTTGTCCAGAAACCCATTGTCATCCATTGGCACTGCCACTGATCATGATCTTGATTGAATATTTGATAATCCAGGCCAAGGGCCTAGGCTCGGCATAGGTAGTTTGTTTTCATATGTTTGTACCTTTATATCTGATGTACTCTAACTGAGAGTTGACCCTTTTAATTATACTGTTCATTTTTTATAATCTTAAAAAGAAGCACATTAAAAAAAAATTGTTCAGAGATTTTTTGCAATGATTAACAATGTAATGTCACATTGTTGTCCAGTTTTTTGTTTTTTTTTAACATTATCATTATCTATTCCTTGTTGTTGGAATATGGCAATATTACATAAGAATAGGCATCAATTGATACGTCATCAATTTGTGTACTTATGGTTTTGGTTTTTTTTTTATTGTTTTATTGTGCCAGGTACCAATCACAATTTCGTAGCAAAGTGAAAGAAGAAAAAAAGACCAACAAGTCACCAAATCGGACAATGGGACCAGCCAAGGTAGACTTACATCAAACATCAGAATTTTTAAAGAAGCGCTCTGGAGAACCTAAACTTCCAGCTTCAGAGCCCTTTAAATATGCAGATGATGAGAGAAAGCGGCCTCCAGTACCAAAAGCCAATGAGAAACCATTGATGGGACTGAAGTCAAATAAGGATTTTGTCAAAACAAATGCAGTTGAAAACATTATGTCAGTTCCTAGGAAGCCAGCTGCAAACTTTGCTGACACAGTCCACGGATCAACACACCCACTTGAACCGTCGGGCCTTGTACCTGTCTACACATCAAAAAAGGTTTGCAAGATGATAATAATTGTATTGTCTGGGACGGATGCATGGGGGAAAGGGGGGTGCAGATGGTGCGATTGCAGCCCCCTAAATTGTATTATGAAAAATAAGTGTCGCTTTGTTGATATATTATTTTTACCATTATGAACATAGTACTGGTAAGATTTTTGAAGTACGAGAGTGCAATTTCCGGTCCATATTGTCAAAATGTTCCCACCTCAGCCCCAAACATGTTCGGGCTAAGGTTATGTGAACTCTCAGGCACCCCCTACCGCCTAATCCTGAATCTGCCCCAGATTGTCAAACTAAGAAAATGTATATTTTAATATCACCAATTAATCAATCATTGACAATAGTCTAAGTATGTAATTTCCATTTTGAACTTCAAATATGTATCAAAAAAACTTTTGGGGTGTAAAAAGTACACGCTTTCCAATCTCAGTCATGGGCTCACTCCCAGCAAACCAAATAAAAAAAGAAACACATAAATATATAATAAAGTGTTTTATTTTAGTTAATAAAGTGACAAACCAGAATAAGAATCATGTTTCATTTTTGACTTGACTAGATTAAAATGTGCTTTTATAATATATAACATATAGTATGCAAAAAAATGGGAAAAAAGTTAAACATTAATATTATTTTTTTCTCCAGAATTTTGGTAAAGTCCCTGAATACCTTACAAAGCGAAACGAGGAAGTAAGGCGTGCCCAAGAGGAATATGATGACTATATCAGGGAGCATTATCGTAGAGGCGCCATGAAGAACCTTTCAGAATCTGAGAGACAAAGCATAATTGACGGGCTAAAGAAAAACTGGGAAGGAATCCACCATCAGTACCAGGGCTTGTCAATGGTAACCGACACTGCACCAAAAAAGGCAAGGAAAGAACGACTTGAAGCAGAAATGAAACAACTAGAAAGAGACATTGAACTGCTGGAGAAACACAATGTTATTTATATTTCTCACTAAGACAAATCAGATTTGGAATTAAACAATGTTTTTGACTCAACAAATACAATGTATATACTTTCATCAATAGTTCCACAAAAGTTGTTGTAGCTTCCCTGAAAAAAGCATTTTCCAAACAAACCAAAGTTTGATGAATGTTCAGTGAAAAATATAAAGTAAATATGTACTGTATGAGAAATTCATGTTGGCTGTATATTTTATATTTTGCAATATTCGTTGCATGTAAATAAATGTATTAAAATAAAATAAGTAAATGTATTGTGATTTTCTATTTTTATTAATGTGTTTGATGCAGAATTGTAAGTTTAAACAGTACACCTCAGTCGTAATGACTTGTCCTTAAGGGAAAAAGACAAATGCATAACTCCGTGTTTTAGGCTTTATTCAACAAGCTCCTACCATAAATTATACAAGTTATTGGTAACAAGATAATAATTATAAAATATGTGAACCTGTACACCTGTACACAATTGAATTAACATAATTATATATTTCTATAATATAATCATATTGCGAACCACATAAAGATCAACTTCAGTTTATAATATAATTATTTGGGCAATGAAAAAAACTGAATCACAACACTTCCATCCCCTAACTAAAATGTGGGACAGGGCTCCAACCCATTTGAAACCTCTAGAATAGCAAGATTGATAGATTCTAAACTGATACTATCCATATATATTATTCTGTTTCCTTTTTTTCCCCCTTTTTTTAAAATTAAATAAAATATCACAACCTGTTTTCAAATCCTCCATCAGCCTTGAGTTGTCCATGTAAATTTCAGTGGTGGGTCTAAGTGTATCCGACTGCTTTTTATAGGTTTATTTTCAAACAAAATCACTTTGTCCAGATTATCAAATATTCTGAGACAAAAAATGTTTATGCCCATATATAGTCATGATGTGCCTATATATAGTCATTATAGTCATGATGTGATGTCATCATGACCATATTTAGGCATGTCACATGTTTTTGTCAAGTATACTTAATAGTCTGGACAGAGCTTTATAATAATTATTGGTCAAACGGTATCCCTGATACAAATCTGTCAATCATGTTGAAAGTTCGTTCTGGTTGGTCAGCCGGTAAGATGTGCCCACCTCCTCTAACCACCACCTGTAAAAAAAATTTAATGTGTGAGGACATGCACACATCTTCACATCATGTACAATATTAAAAACATCTTAATTTTAAAATATAAAAGAATATAAAATTTTTCATACTGTATGTTGTACAACCAGTTTTTCTAAAAACTAAAGGGGTGTTTGATGAAACGTTAATAAGATACAGATTTTTAAATATTCAGAAGAATTTTGTCTGTTAGTGGGAAACAAAGACCCCCTCATACCCTTGATATAATAACACTAGTAATAATAATAATGATGAAATAATAATAATACCTGAATGAAATGATCAACTTGTCGCACATAGCCAGCTACGTCTGTATCATCCTTATGAACTTTCCAAACTATTTTTTTAACTGTTTGAAAAGCTTTTGAGCCTTTCCATGTCAAAGCTCTGAGAATGAAGCGCTCTGTAAGAGGAGTAGCGACGATGACATCAAATTGCCCATTGTAAAACAAAACCTAAGTGTGATGAATAAAAATATACTATGAATGTATAAAATCAGTCGCTGAATAATAACAATTATAATCGCTAAAATACCACCAGACATAACATCAATCACACACATGTTTTTAAACAATCAATTCACACACATTAAATAAACTATAATGAAAAAAAAATTAAAGAAATCTATCACAATTTTTTAATATACAGGTGGTAAAATAGTGAAAATTACATGCATTCCAATTCAAATTCACATTTAGTAAAGCTGGTGTTTTCAGAACCTCATGAATTTTACCCCTAAGCATATATCTGTAAGAACCCGTCCAGAATCTTGATCTGAAAAGTGCCAAATTCATTGTGTACTATGGGAGGCCAAATAAAATGGAGGCCAAATACACCGATGACTGAAATCCCTTACTGTACTTACCTTATAGTTGTCAGCTAATATTTCCATCCAAGGTTTGATAGACTGAGTGATGTCTGCGGCTAGATTGTCTGCTGCTTCATTGCCGTCGCTAAAAGGAACATTGCCGACATGAATGGCTTTCCGGACATCAACCTGATTCAAGTATGCTGCATAGTCACCAAAACCTGGGGGCTTTGCAAAAAATGTTAAATGTAAATTCAGTTCAAAGTTTGTATTTATTGTTAAACATCAAAATTTTACAATTCCTCTTTTTCTGGCTTGTATTATCTCTAAAGCCCAACCCACACTGCACTGACAATTATTTATTTATTTATTCTTTTTTTTACTGGATTGCATTTTCAGTAACGTAGTACTGCTTTCCAAAATGGTCCAGTTACAAAGTACAGTAAAAAGAAATAAAAGTTAAAGTAAAGTAAACAAAGGAATTAAATAAAAATAAAAAATGTACAAAGGTAAAAACTAAATTACATTTGAATCAACAAAGATGGAATTTTTGAAATCATTAATATTTTTTTCACTTGCAGTTTTTCTAATTTGAGCAGGTAAATTATTCTATTGGTTTGAGGCTCTGAATTTTAAAGTTCTTTTGCCTTGAAAGTTTTTCCAATTTGGTGTTATTAATGTTTTACTACTTTGACTTCGGGTGTATTTGGGATGAAGTGAATCATTTAATTCAAACATTGATAATAAATATGATGGTGTTTGACCATTTATACATTTGAAAGTTTCTACTAGTAGATATTCCCTCCATCTTTCATTTAGCGTGCTCCAATTTAGTGCTTTAATAAATCATTTATTGGTGTCATTATATCAGCAGAGAGCAAAACTCTTCCTAATCTATTTAGTAATATTTGGAGCATATTTAAATTTTGCTTTACTACAATTTGTCCATACAGGACTACAGTAATCAAAAATTTGCATTACAAGAGAATTTGCCAGCATAATAGTTGATGATCTTCACCCAATACAGCACAAAACACAAGGTGCGCATAGTAGATTGCCTTTAATGACGATTGCCAAGAGCTCGAAGGCAGTGGCGTATTAAGGGCATGCCCCCAGTCGCCCCCCCAAAAAATCAGTAGTAGTAGTTAAAAATCACCTAAAATCACCATATTTTTGAGGTGACTATCCTCTGTCTCTTATACACATCTAGATGTGTATAAGAGACAGCCTCTAGATATGCCACTGCTCGAAGGATTTGTCTTACCACTCTCCACAAATGCAGTGTTTGCCAGGATTTAGAGATTACTTCTCTAAATTCTCAGTAAATATGTTTCTCTAAAGAGGAATGATAACTGCAGGCCCAAAATTAACATGGAAATCAAGCTGTGAAACAGAAATTTTAATGTATATGAGCATGTTCTACTTACACCGTCCTCAACGTAATTATAGTAGCTCTGAAGACCCGTAACATTCTGGAAAAAAGATGGTTGGCCAGTAGAATCCCCTTCAATCAGCTTTGACAGCACCTTGACACAGAGATGATAATTCATGAAAGGAACACAAATTCAAACCAAGGTGGTAACAACAAGAAAAAAAAATAAATGGATTAAGGATGAACCTAATTAATCCTCAACTGGGAATTAGTTAATTAATTGGGGTCCCAGTAAAACAGTAATAAACAAAAAGTGAAATATTAAGATTCAAAATTGATAAAAAAAAACTTGTAGATTACATTCTAAAGGCCTAAGCATAACTTTACCGATGTTCAAGCCTATTTAGGAAATGTTACTTACTGTATAGGGGCAGGATGATTATTTTTATATATATATAATTCTTTGAGCATACATTCTAAAATTGACATCATATTACCTTATTGGCTATTAGGATACATAGCATAATAGAACTGAATTTCAGGAATTACTGTACAAAATTTAAATATTCAGAATAATCATGAATTCAAATTTAAATAGTGTAATAATTCAATTGCCATGAGCTAAATTTAAAATTAAAATGTAATACCTCATTAGCTTTCAGAAACTGTTTCTGCTGAATGAGTTGTACCACAATGTTAACCTGTGTATCTACATAACTTTTTTCATTGAAATCCATTACCCCAATTTGATAGAGAAAATCACCATAAGCAGGAAACATCTGGAAATGAAATCAAATTGTAATTTACAATACTTACCCACGATTTTAAAAACAGAGGCACAAGGGAATGGACCTTATCAAAGTGTCAATTAAATTTAACAACTGGCCAATCGGAACAGGGCCAGGAATATGCACATCTCACACAGTGGTGGCATCACAAATTTGCCGACAAGGGTCCGAGCCAAGAGACCGACGAGGCCTTGGTCGATGGCCCAGAATAAAAAACTCCCTCGTATGGTTCACAAGGAGAGTTTTTATGGCTTAATACGGTGCAAAATATGCTTTTAGACTACAATATTAGGGATTGGTAGTCAAAATAACGATATTTACATAGGCGAATTATTATTTTTTTTCATTTTTGATCCGACGACAACAGGGGGGTCCACGCCTGTATGGCACCACCACTGATCTAACAAACACACTTGTTGCCCCACAAACAGATGTGTTTGCCTATGTTTTTACACTGTTGTTTTTTGGGACCTTAGCAACAATATCCAAGGGGCGGTGCTTAACGGAAAGGTCCACTATTTAGTAACTAAATTTAGAAAAACTTGTTTTGTCACAATTTCCAGTTTTTCTGATGGTGAAAAAAAAATATAAAGGCCTATAATCACACAGGTGACTTTCAACATTTGACAATAACAGTTCTAGCAAAGGTTTTATCAACTGCAAAAAAAAAAAGTTCGAAAAGTTTCGCATTACCGATTCTGGGTCACACAGACCATCACCGATAGCAACGCCTTTAAAGTTGATTTTGGTAGAAGCTGTTGGGTTTTCTTGATGAATGCGAAATCCAACAGCAGGGATGTACTTGCCAGCATAGGACTGTAGAATGAATTACATTTAAACATGTTGTTAAAAAATGTCATATCACACACATATATGAGCCAATATCAAGTTTTCATTAGTGGTGTATCTAGGAGTTATGAAATGGGAGGGGGCATGATGGGATGCAAAGGTGAAATGGTGGGGGTCAATAATTAAGTGAAGGGCGCTATCTTTCAAAATAGGGTGTTAATAGGTGATTTTAAGTACTAGATACACATTTTTTTGCTTCAAACACTTTTATTTGGGGTGAATGGGGAGATGTGAGCCACTTTTGGGGGAGGGGAGATGCTCCCCCGCGTAGCCCCTAAATATGCCTCTGGTTTTCATACACACCTCACCAGTTAAGTAAAATTCATTCTTCTGGTACATAGGGAATAGTTGGAAAAACTGTGTGAGGGCACTGTATAGTTTCCATCCAACTGCTGTTTCATTCTGAGCAAATCCACCATTAGTGAAGCTAAATCCCGTTCCAACAGGATTGTCTATATAGATCATTGAAAACTTCTTTGTCCAACTCCATTCTCTTGGATGCACTAAATTTAAAAAAAACAAAAAAACATAGCATGTTTTAACATTTATTATAACTCATTATTTGACTACTTTGAAACATTATATCAATATCTAAGTATCTTTTGAATGTTTGCATGGCTAGTAAATGCAATTACATTTTAAGTCTTTCGAGAGGTAGAACGGTCCATTTTCAGAAAATAACCCAAACATAGATGAGCCTCCCGGTCCACCTTGTAACCATAGCAATATAGGAGCAGTCTCTGAATTTACCTGAAACAAATAAGAAAGGCAGGTAAACTTTGTAAGTTGCCTTATTGCCTTATATTTTTCCATTATTTTTATGTATATTAATTTTTATATTATCATTATTTTATAGTACTATCATTATTAATATTGTTTATAAATGCAATATCAATCTGTATGAGGAAACCTAGTTTATATTTTTATGTATTATTTACATAGGTTGAGCTACTGTAAATGATGGTGATAAATAATAAATGATTTCATAATTTCCCTTACCATAGCAGGAAAGAACCAGAAAAACATGTTGCTTCCAAATTGTTTATCAACAGTGAAATACCCTGCAACATTAAATAAAAAATATCACATTATTATTACTCAATATATAGCACAATGAAAAAGGAGGATGAGGACAGTTGACAGCAACAACATAATTCAATACCGCACAAACTAGAAAAGTTTTAGGTGGGTATTCAGTCCTCCATAATAAATTATAAATAATAATAATAATAATAATAATAATAATAACAATAATAAATCTAATGATAACCTGATGATAAGTTCTTAATCTAATTTAAAAAGTAACTTTATCATTGTTGAGCTTCAATACACTCATCACAAATCCTAGATTACTAGATTACAATATTGTGATTCCAACCAGGTACTCATACATGTAGTGACGACTGCAGTGGCGAAGATGAAAATAATAATAACAACAATAATAATCATAATAGAACATCTAAAGAATTACACTTGTAACTAATTTTACAGTTAAAATTCCATTTGAAGCTACCTGATATATATTTTTAGAAAACGATCATAGGCCTACCTGCATAGCTTTTAGTTGTTGTGTTGAGTTGACTAACCAAACTTAATTTTCTCCCTGTAATAGAATGGTATGGTCCATGACTTTATTGTACAGTATTACACATGACATACATTACAATGTTACAAATTTTATATTCAGGGACACTATCAATCAACAAGTTAAACGAGATCAGTTAACCTGCAAAGTAGAAATGTCAAGTAATGGTGCTATGCTGACTACCTTCTGGTTGCTATAAACTCTTAAATCTCTTCATCTTAGCTAAGAATCGTTCCGTATTGTATTGTAAATTTATGGCAGAATGTAGAAAATTTAAATTCACTGAGGATGATGCCCTTACTGTTTTTTACAGAACTGTTTCAATAAAATCCATGTATGCCTAAATTTGTTGTTATATTAATATTAATATGAATAATACACTACTTTATAAAACATTGTACCAAATAAACTAAATTACTGTAATTAAATTGTACTGTATACTGTTGGCCTACTTACCTTCATCAACATTACCAGACTCAATATATGGTGTCAAAATTAAAGGCTTGCCTGGATCTAAATGTGGTCTAGGCTTCAAACTGACTTTGGGATGATTCTGGTAGAGTAGCCGCCAACCATATGTGCTAATCACGTTATTCATTAATACCATCATGAAAATCAACTGTGCCTAAAGGAACAGAAGAATGAATAAAAAGAACAGTCCAAGTTACAACAGGCATTGTAACAAAATGAGTATTTTGGTATCATAACATAAATGAGTGTTACTAATACACATAGGGGTAGGCTGGGATGGGAGGGGAGAGACGCACAACCCTCCCCCTCCCCATGGTGGCAAATTAGTTCCTCTGAGTGGGTTATAATTACTCAAAAAAACATTAAGTTTTCATTGGAATATGGATTTAGTTCCACATCAGGCCCATACTCGGCCGAACACCTTTCTTGACCAGTTTACTACTGTAGTCATATATTAGAGAGCAGCTTAGCTCAGTCGACTAATTTGGTGGTAGCCACTGTGTGTGCGCTGAACAGTGGAGATATCTAGGTCTCCGGTTCAATTTCGATCACTACCTCGCCTTTGTTTCAGCTGGAGGGCTGAAATACAAACAGTGGTGGACCGTCAAGGCAAGCAAGGTATGCAGTGCATACCCTGGCTAAAACAAATAAGAAAATATAGTATTACAATTTCTGCATTTGATTTAGCATTTCTTAGCATTCAATCTTATTTGTAAACCTTAATTTTTCGAGTGGATTGCTGTAGTTTATTGGAAAAGCAAAGTTTTTCAATGTTTGGCCTACTTTGGTATCTAGGATAAGTCACATTCGGGCCTATCACATCGTACTCTCAGCTGCTGAGAATTTCCGAAGGCTGGTTTTTATAAACCAATCACGTATTCAGTGAGTCAATGGAAGTCAGAGCATACCCTACAACACTTAAATTTGCTATTGTGACAACCATGTGGTGGCGTCAGAATAGCCAATTTAAAACTGGAATGGAAGCAGTGCTTCCAAGAGTATTTGCGCATGCTCTTCTTCTCGCAAATCAGGACCTTCACTGCCGATTGGGTATTCTATCTATAGGCCTGTCTAATCTCAATGATTCTATAAAAGTTTAAATAAATTTGCATGCATATAACCAGTATAGAAGAAACTTTGAATTATTATTATTTGAATTGAAATATGTTAAAATAGAGGAATAGGAATTATTTGATCCTGTATAGTAGTAGGCTTGCAAATTTTCCTACTAGCAGGTCCTAGCATCAGTGGCGTAGGGGTCTTGAAATGGAAGGGAGCTGATGTGGTGGGAAGGTAAGAAAATGGGGATCGGTGATTAGGTGAGGGGGGCTAACTCGCAAAATAATGTGATTTGAGGTGATTTTTAATGTAATTAACTGTTAATTTTTAAAAGTTTTTCAATAAAGTTTTGCTTAATAAATAATGTTTTCCATGCTCCTGTGTTATTGTGTGTTTAGTCTCATAGTTCCAAAGGCTTACGTATATATTTATATGTATATATATATATACATACTCTTAAAAGGTGTATTGCCAAAAGTAGTTTATAGAGTACACAAACGTTTTCGCACATCGCCCTTCATCAGGTATACGTACAGATATAAAATAGATATAAAATGAGTATAAATAAATATAATGCAGACGTAAGTTGAGTGACATAAGAAAAGTAGGCTCGTAATAAAACAAAAGATATATAGGGTAGCGTGGATAGGAAAGCTATTAAGGGCGTAGTTGATAATGATGAACTAGCCAATCAGAGAGTGATACTGTAAGATATAGAACATATGATAAAAAAAATAATAAAAACCAAGATAATATGAAACGAGATCAGGCAAAATAAGTCATAAAAAACAACACAATAATATAATATAATTTATAATATAATAAACCAAATATATAATGGGTGAAATAATTTATGGATAAGTCAAATTATTTGTTTTCTCCAATAATGCATTTCTAAAGGCAACACATATGGCATTCGTTTCTTATTGCTTCTTATACATAAAGACGGTTTCGATGTTATCTATTATCGTGATTTATATACATATACGCCTATATATATTTAAATATATATACACATATAAATGTATGTTTAACTTATTAAGTATTGTCATTATTATGTCTTTATTTTCATCATATCGTTGTTATCATCAGTTTTATTATGTGACCTTTTCATATTGTTATTATTAATATTATTTTAATATTATTTTTATTAATGCATTTTTTATTATTCCTATAACTCATTAAGTATTCTTATTATTATGTCATTATTTTCATCATATTCTTATTATCATCAGTTATATTATATGACCTTTTTTATTGTTATTATTAATATTATTTTGATATTATTTTTATTAATGCAGTTTTATTATTGTTATGTGGGTGTAAATGAAAAAGAAATAACAAAAACAACAATTTAAAACACTTTATTTTGGCATACTAGTTCACTTTGCATTGAAATCAATATTATTTATTACTATAAAAATACACAGTAAATTGGGGCCGAGTCGAGTACTGTACTTGGGGCCGAGTTGACTAATTGGGGCCGAGTTGACCTAGGGCGGAGTTGACTTGGGGCAGAGTTGACTGGGGCCGAGTTGACACAATTCTGCCATCACAGAGATGAATGAGGGAGCATTAGACAATAAGCCGCCTATCTACAGCTGTATTAGGGGTCTACTAGTACCTAGAGTTAGGGCCTATTCCTAGGTCCTATATAGCACCTCACTGGTTATCTATACACAATTTAAGTACATTAGCATGGAAAAATTAAGAAAAAGCTTTACCTTCAAAATATCCATGGCCCACTTAAGCTACGAACTACTGGTACCTCTTTCTTGCTTGCTTGCTCCTATTCTGATATAGATACTTCCTCATGCACACACGTGAGTCTGATGTGGTTGTTTTCATGTGTACTGCCCTCTATAATTAAATTCCATGATTAAACAATTTTGAGCAGTCCCAGGTTTCGGCAGAAGTCTGGTTATAATCTAATGCAATCTCTTGATATTTTCATTTCGAATTGAGGCTACTGGACGCAGTGAAACTGCTTGTTTTTCTACGAAGTTGAAGCCTAAGATATTTCCAAGATGGTAAGTTTAAAATGCAATATTTGAATTAATATTCCATTACCATAGCTAGTCTAGCGATAGCAATCAGACTTGCCGGTGGTAGGCCCAGGTCTAGGCCTAGGCTGTAGCCTAAATCTTAGGCCTAAGCTTCTCTATCCTAGGGTGTAGTCTACTACTACTTTCGCACTTACCTTTTAATTCTTAATTTTTTACCTCCGTGTTCTTCCCACAGTCACCAAATGGGCGCTAACGAACTTTCGCACCTAAATTTTAATTCTTAATTTTTTCGCCTCAACTCAAAGTTTAAATTAAATGAAACATGATTACATGATTCAACTACTTTACTTACAAAGTACCTTTTTCAACAAAAAATACCTTTATAAATACAGCGTTTCTGTGCTCGCTAGTACAACGAGCTGCTGCTGCAGTCAAGCATTGACTGATTATTTTATCATTTTTTGTTGGTATTTTCTTTTTAAGAGTATTATGTCCTACAATGGAGCTGCCATAGTGGCGATGAGGGGTAAAGATTGTGTGGCCATAGCAGCTGACAGGAGGTTTGGTATCCAGGCACAAACAGTTTCAACAGACTTTCAAAAGGTGTTTGAGATGGGGCCTAAACTTTACATTGGACTAGCAGGATTAGCAACAGATGTACAGACTGTGTAAGAATAAGTTCATACAATTATTGTTAAAACATTCTAACTGTATTTATTAAGTAATGAAGTGAAGAAAAGGGACAAATATATATATAGTAGTATGTGCTATGTTATAATACAGAAACTCAGTTGAATTTTACATTGAATAATATGTATTTGTATTATTGTATTAATTATTATTTTTGAGCTTGATTATTGTATTGACCATTAAACAAAGCACAAGAATGAGACAAACGCGTTTCACTTGTACGTTGTTCCTTGACATGGCAAAAGCAGGGGATTAAGCCCCTCTCTGTGGGGCAGGTCAAGCCTCAGCTTTCCCTCCCCACCTCATCTGTTAGTTTTTTTAATAGCTTATATTTTCATTTAGAATACCAATCATTAGTGTTGAATTTCTGTAATTGTTATTTTAAACACATTATACTAACACAAAGTCAACTATATACATTTTTTTTCCAGAGCAAATAGGTTGAAATTTCGGTTAAACATGTATCAACTACGAGAGATTTCAGTTCCGTTCAGTTCCGTTCAGTTCCTTTCAGTTGCTCAAAGTCGACATGAGTTCAGTTCCTTTCAGTTGCGTTCAGTTCCTTTCAGTTGCGCGGAGCGCTCATGTCGACGAGTTGAGTTGTGTTGAGTTGAGTTGAGTTGAGTTGAGTTCCTTTCAGTTCCGTGTCGACCTGAGCCTGCCTTTAAGCCCCTCTCTGTGGGGCAGGTCAAGCCTCAGCTTTTCTCTCCCCACCTCATCTGTTAGTTTTTTTAATAGCTTATATTTTCATTTAGAATACCAATCATTAGTGTTGAATTTCTGTAATTGTTATTTTAAACACATTATACTAACACAAAGTCAACTATATACATTTTTTTTCCAGAGCAAATAGGTTGAAATTTCGGTTAAACATGTATCAACTACGAGAGAACCGGGAAATTAAGCCCAAGACCTTTATGAGCATGGTGTCAAATCTTTTATATGAAAGAAGGTAATTACTCTGTTCACTATTCCTTTACTCAATTTAAAGGCAAACCTCTGTCCACACTGTCAGTTCTACTGTATGTGGCAACAAACAGTTTGCTCATATGTGGGCATTATGATGTCATACCACATCCATATACTGTATGGCAATTTAAATGTACAGTTGAACTTGCCTAGGTCAAATCCCAAATTGGCATTGAAAAATTGTTTGACTTAGATAAAATTTGACTTGCAGATCGTTAATTAATGGAAAACACAACAATTTTGCATGTAAAATAAGATCGTCCATGATAGACACGAAACGTTGATCCCTTATGTCAGTAACTTTTGTGTTAAAATAAGATCGATTTTAGAAATTATTTAAGTTTGGCAAAGTCAGCTTAGGTAGGTTGAACTGTATTTGTCCAATTCATAAAACATAGCAGTGACAGAGTTTACAATTATACTTTGATACTGAATTGTAAGTGAAGCTGACAGTGGCACATTCAGTTGGCCTCTGGCATTTGGGCTTTAGTGCTGGGTTAGTCTGGTTTTGACTGGATTTAACTTTTTGATTGGAAACCAAGTAACTTATAAACTACCAAGCTACAACTTCATATTGTGATGTTTGTAACTGGTTCTGGAAAAACCCGCCAAACAGTGTGTATATTTGATGGAAACTGGTTGAATATTAGCGAAGTATGAATATTTAATTCACTAAATATCAGCTATGTAAGTTCTGAGAAAACATCTTCCAAAGCCTCCAAAATATAGTTTACTATTAATATTATATATAATTTTCAGTTAGATTTAGTGATTGATATTTTGCAGAAATATTCTACAATATCATTTCTTTCATAAAATGCAAAAAAACTTAAAATGTTCAAAATTCTGATTCTCAAACATTTTGGGTGCTTGTGCGAAATTAAAATTTGTGACTTTTTGCATTTTATAAAAGAAATGATATTGTAGAATATTTCTGCAAAATATCAATCACTAAATCTAACTGAAAAGTATATATAATATTAATAGTAAACTTGATTTTGGAGCCTTTGCAAGATGTTTTCGCAGAACTTGCATAGCTGATATTTAGTGAAATAAATATTCATACTTCACTAATATTCAACCAATTTCCATCAAATATACACACTGTTTTAAAGAATTATTCATGCAGAGCCGGTCACATCTGTATTGTCATATTTAGTTTTTTCATATCATATTTTATAAGTAATACAACTCATTTCCTTTATTCATTTTCACAGGTTTGGACCTTATTTTATTGAGCCAGTTATTGCAGGACTTCATCCCACTACATCTGAACCTTTTATCTGTAATCTGGATTTAATTGGATGTCCAATGTTCACTGAGGATTTTGTAGTATCTGGTACTTGCTCAGAACAATTATATGGCATGTGTGAATCTCTGTGGGTACCTGATCTTGTAAGTATATTTTATTATTACTTGCCTAATCTTGTATATACATCCAATATAAAAGTCATACAATGTCATACCTCTATTTTAATTATATATTATAGTAAAATAATTTCTTTTTATAGGAACCTGATGATTTATTTGAAACTATTTCTCAAGCTTTGCTAAATGCGGTTGATAGAGATGCAGTGTCTGGTTGGGGAGCCGTTGTACATATCATGTAAGTTATTAATTATTCCATCAAATTCACATCAATTATTATTATTATTATTTACATCAATTTTTGATTGGCTTGAAAGAAAAGGGACTGATTACATGTTTTCTAGTACAAAAGTGTAAACACTGGTATAAAGCTACATTCACATAAGCCTGGAATCCGGTCCGGAGCCCGGAAAGAAAATCGTGAAAATGGGTTCAGTGGTAAAGAATAGGACCGTTCATATCAAATTCGTACGATTTCAATCCGGACTCCGGATCTGGATTTTTTGTCCGGGCTCCAGACCGGATCCGGACTTGATATGGGCGTAGCTTTAATTGGGTTTATCTGTCCCAACTTGGAAGGAACAATGGACAACAATGTGGAAAATGCAAGTTAAAGAGTTGAAAAAAAATAAATTGGGGAAAAAAAACCCACAAGGTAATAAATAAAAACCAAGAGATACCAGTGTATACTTTACATAAATGTGATTCTATGTATTATTGTCTTTGCAGAGAAAAGGACAAAGTGACCACAAGGACATTGAAGGGAAGGATGGATTAAGCTCATGAAATTTCACCACTACTACCGTGCAGAAGTTGTCTACTCTATTAGAACTCTTGGAATCTTGTTTGACATGTTGCTGTTTTTCAGTGGATATTGTTAATCGTCAATTCTACTTCACATTGGCTTTAGAAGGCAGTCTGTTTTAGAAGTACTGTATGTAGTACATTAACTTGATAGGTCAAAGAAGTCAACATTGTTATTAACATGAAAGCAAATAAGATATACTGTACAGTATTAATGCTGTTCATGGTGAAAACAAGACAGGAACACAGTTTGAGACTCGGAAATTCAAAATTAAGAGTATAATTGCAACATCATCATTTTATTTTTGTTTATGATTGATTGTAACCTGTTATTTTCAACCTTACAACAATCAAGTTTACTACAGTGTATTCCAGGTCTATACAATTATTAATGAATATTTTTTCTTATTGAGTGTTTTGGTCAATTGCAAAGCACTATCCAATTGTATGTAATATGTGTGGATATTTATAGAAATTAAAACTTTATAAAAAGAGACTGTTATAGTGTTCCTCTTTTGAATTTTCGCATAGTGTTTAGATAACATGTGCACAGACTCAGAACACACAAACAATGTTGCATTCATTGTAAATTTTTAATTTTTATTTAAGGTTGTTTAATCAAGAAATGAAAATAAATACATGTATTTTAAATCTTAACAAAAACATTATTAAATATACTGTACAGCTAATTAGATTGTTGTTAATGAAATATAGGTAACATTGATGCACCAGGCCCCCTTTTAAAAGGTTAAAAAAAAAGAAAAAATTGATCGCTCAAAACACCTAGGAGGTTATTTTCAGGGGTTTACAACGCAAAGATTTCGCTGGGTATGCACTCGGACCACATAAGGTAGTGTTATCTCGATCACCCCCCTTTCTGACAACGCTGGATCTGCTTCTGTAAACTGCAGTAATACATAGGTTATAGTTTGGAATGGTTGAAATATTCACCTATTATAAAGATCAACACTGAACAGTATAACATGCAAGTGACAGCAACATAAGCCCGTCACCATTTGTTGACATGCTTTGGCCACTCATTGCGCACTGGCTTATTGTTGTATTATTCATTATACTGTACATCGTATAAATTTCTGGTCCATACAGGACAATGAGTAGACTAAGGTATAATATATTGTGAAAACGAAAATTATGGTACATCATTGGGTTTACCATCATCAATTTACATTCTCTCCCCTTATATATTGATCCCTTAAAAGTATAGTACAGTACAACTAGTTAAAAATGATATATTTACACATTGCTATAAGATCATTACATTTATTTCACATTAATAAGTGAAGTTGTATGTTCATACAGAAAACTAAATATTTTACAAATTTATTATTTGTACACAAATGACTGCAATGTGGTGGAAAGTGTTGCTGGATGGTAGTTTTAAGCCACAGGTTGGTAATGTTCGACTCGATCTAGAAGCTGGTCTGAATAGCCTGGTGAGTAGTATCTGAGGATCAAAGAAATGAGAATTCTTCAAAAAAAATTATTTACCAATGAAAATGTAAAGAATACAGAAATTATTTATACAGTATAATAAATAATCAATTATATACAATATGTTATATTGATAGCACTTCTAAAAATATAGAAAGTGCTCAGAAATTTTGCAATAAGAAGAACCACGTATAGTACCTGACAATCTCCTCTGGGTAGCAATTATTGATGGTGTTAATATATTCTGCGAGGGCGCTTCCTGGTTCTGCCTTGATCTCCTGGACCTTCTTCAGACCCCCGCTGGTGACAAATAGACGTCGTGCTTTGGTGTCATGTGGAAGAACCTTGCTAAATTGCCCCACCACATGTTTGAGGATGTTTGGTGGGGCATCGTGGAGAAGTGGTTCAAGAGCAGGAAGATGAACGCATTTTTGGAGGATGTTCTTCAGGGCTTTCTTAGCCTATAAATTAAACACAATAAACACATACTATATTAATTACAGTATTTATCTAAGAGAGCTCAAGATATTTTCAACAGGTGCAGAAAAATAAAATGTAGGTAGGCTTAACTACAAAAATATGTAGTGCTACTACTTTACGATGAATAATCTGACAGAAACAAAATATTTTCTAATGGTCACTGGGGATTTTTATAATAAATACTGAATATAAACATTAAAACTAATCAGAAAAGAAAAAAGCCATGTTGGGGAAAATGTCCTACCTTGGTTTGAAGGTCTTCTGAAGCATCGTGGCGGAGGTAGCACTGGAGCAGCCTAGGAAGAACATTAGCAACTGCAACAGCTTTAGCATGTTCTGGAGTGTGCCTACCAATCTGGCCCAAGGCCCAGGCAGCTGCCGCTTGAATATGGTCTTCAGGCTCTTCAGCTAGAGTAATTGCAAGCTGGGTTACACCCTAAAATAGCAAGTAAAGTATTTTGGAGAAATAAGTTACATTAGTAGTGAAAATTAATACAGTATATGCAAAAAAAATCAAGTCATGTACAGTAATCCACTACTACAATTTTACTATCAATACAGGTTTCTCTTCAATTAAAGGCTACTATTGGGACCGGGGTTTCATGGTAGCTTTGGTCTCTAATTAGATTAATAAAGATAAAAGACATTTGTTAATACCGTAAAACCTCGAGCTTCTTTTCAAAATAGCATAGGCTTCTTTTCAAGATAGTACAGTACATACACTGTGCAGGAATCTCAGAAAACAAAAGGGCTTCAATTCGAGGTTTTATGGTATGGGACCACAGAAAAGTGCTATTTAATAGAAGGGGTCTTTAATTGTAATGAACTAATAACTACCTTTGAAACTATTACAGCCATTGCAAGATTTTCAGAATGTGCTGCGACATAGCCCAACATCATAACTCCCGGTAAACGAACATTTCCTTTACAATCACCAATATAGTCCACAACTGCAGCAACGCCACCTGCATTTACGATCAACTGCGAAAGCTCAGGTGTGTGTTTGGCAATCTCACGGATCAACGTTGCAACATTCTTGCGCACATATTCATCCTGGTCCTTAAGACAAGTGAGGACAGCTGGAAAGATCTCGGCTTCAACAACCATCTCTGCTAGATCGACCGAATGTTTAGAGATCTGGCTAAGAGCTGAGAAGACTTGGCGCTGGAAGGGAATGAAACACAAATGTAATTATTATTAATATAAAAATACATTCTAAAATTAACTGCCATCCATTGAATTATCTAATTGTAAAATATTATATTATGATTATCCACAAAATATCTAATCACATTAAGACACGCCATGACCTTCTGTTTGTAAACTGTATGGTAAGTATTATTTAGAAAAATAATAGTTTCTTTGCTATCTAATGTGTACCTTGAGCTTGGCATCAGGGTTGAGTATCATCTGCGCAAGATGTGCAATGGCACCTGCATCCACCACTGTCTGAGCAAGTTCAGGTGAGTGCTTGCATATGTCACTGAGAGCTGATGCTGCAATACGCTTCAGAGACAGCTCTGGTTCCTGGATACAAAGTACAAGGAGAGGTACAGCACCAGCATCCACAACAGATTGTGCAAGTTCTAGAAAATAGAAACCGTAAATTAGTATCTATCAAACACTTTGAATACATAGCTAATAGTAGGAGTCTATACTGAATTATATTTTAACCAAGTATACTAATTATGAAGTTTAATTAAAAAATCATTTAATTAGTCAATGTTCTGATCTTTAAGCATGATGTCTACCTGCATTGTGCCTGGCAATGTAGCCCAATGCCCAAGAGGCTGCTTCCTTGACACCAGGATCAAACTCCTCCAGGCATATAACCAGGGCATCTAAGGCACCACAGTCCACTACTGCCTGCCCTAGCTGAGGTGAGTGCTTTGCAACGGCTCTCAGCACAAATGCTGCAGCTTTCTTATAAAATCTCTGTTGGAAGGAAATAAAGAAATCAACTGTTAGGTAAATATACTGGTTACCAAGACAGCAAGTTCATTATATACCATCCAGTATTGAGAAAATTTATGATATTTTAAAGGCCCCCCCCCCACCCCCAAGATGCCTTATTTAAGAAAACTTAATTTTCCTAACTATAAAATATTTTAAGATAATGCCACCTACGTTTTGTTCTGCCAATGAGTAGACAAGCTGAGGTAGGATGTCTCCTTTCACTACGGCTTCAGCTAGATCATCGTTGTAGTTGGCTAGCCTTCCTAATGCAAGTGCTGCTGTTTGTTGGATGGTGGGTACAACATCCAACAGTAGTGGACGCAGTAATGACATAACACCTGTAAAATTCAAAAGTCGACAACATTTAAAATTCTACTCTGTTTAGACATTATCAAGTCAGCTTTCAAAATTAAAAAATAAAAATTTCAATGATCTTTTTATACTTAATTGTAATTTAATAATAATTTGTAAGATCGAATAAATTGATTTGTGACTGTGTGATTAAACAATGAATTTTTTTTGGTAGTGAAAAAAGAAATATTGGTATTTGCAAGAGTTTTAATTTAGAAATCTGAAATTGAAGGTGAGCACCACCTTAATACTCATTCCTGATGATGACACAATCAATGTTTTAATATTGAATCCCGAAACAATGGCGTGTACTTCGATACACAGAGTATGTAATACTATCTTAATACTTAAACGCAAAAGAAAAAAAAAATCTTAGGGAGTTTACAATTTACATATGTTTGGTAAAATGACTACAACTAGGCAAAAATAACACCTCCACTCCTCAGGACTAGAAAAATAAATACATTGATCTCTAAAAATTATTCAATTTGTTTTTTATCATTTCACTTTGATTTCTCCAATTTTCCTGAAAAATTCATATTTTTATCAAATGACAAGATAATCAAATAATGGCTTCATTTTATAAACTGAATATGGTGAAAATAATGCCTAGGCCTAATCTAAAAAAAATGAAAGAACTAACAATATTAAACAAGAAATTATCACAAGCGGAACGGTACAGTACCTGCATTTTGTAATGTTTCTATATTTTGTGGTCGTGATGCAAGCTCAGCCACAGTCTGAACAAACGTTGTTCTTGATTTCTGATACTGCTCAAACACTAGAAAATTAAAATGAAAGACATTTTAATTATGATGATGTAATAATACATACCATATTTATTTGAATAAACACCTTGCTATAAAATTCCCCACTTGAATAAACAATCCCTCTAGAGCCCCATTTGGAATAAATTCCTTCCCTCAAATAAACACCAGAGGAGTGTGTATTTTTTCCATGAATAAACGTGCCCCTCGCACGAAGTGACTGTAAACAAATCTAATGGAAGCAACATCATTCTCAACACATTCTATTAATGTTCTACTGAAGTAGAATTACATTTATTCTAACCTGGTTGGGATCGATAAGTCTTTATGATTACGCAATAACACATTTTTACGGTAATTATGTGTTGTAGTTCCATATTTACAGTGAAATTAAGGGGCATTTATTTGATTATATACGCATCCATTTTACACAAAAACCCCACAAAAAACTACCTCCCTCGAGTAAAACGCCACTTCAAAAACCTTACATTTGAATGAAATTATTATGATGATGATGAATAAATAAACTCTAAAGGATTATAATTAATAATAATATAAAGTTCTAAATGATAATGAATAAAATGATGAAGGCATTACAAATTAGTAATAGTAGATTAATCCCAGCTACCAGATTGCTTTCCTATCAAAAACACAAATTAACCAAATGCTTTTGAAGAAATTGTGTTTACACATTTTTTTTAAAGCCAACACACTGACGATATACAGGGTAAAAAACCGGTAGCAGGTCAAAACGGCAATAAACCAAAATGGCAATGACCACCAAAACGGCAATAACCAAACCGAAAATGAACAAAAACGGCAATGATAAGTACCAAAACGGCAACAGACTAAAACGGCAATGGCAGTACCAATTAAAACAGCAATATGCCAAAGGAGCAAAATAATGCTATGACTAGCAAGCGCCACCGGGCGCGGGCCACGGTTTATAATTTTCTGAATCATTTTAAAATTGTCCCGCTAGGCAAAACGAATATTGCAATCAGCTCTTTTTGCTGGTTTTAATTTTTTAATGTTTTCTCAGATTTTTTTTTTCTTACACATCTATGAAGTTTATTTTAGATGCTTCATTTTGTCTATATTTTAAAGTGTTATTTATTTATTTATTAATATTGTTATTATTATTGTTGTTTTAATTATTATTATTAAGTATTATTATTAATTATTACTATTATTATTACTATTATTACTATTGTTATTATTACTATTATTAAGCTACTATTACAGTATTATCATTCTTCTTATTGTTATTGTTGTTGTTGTCGCTGTCGTTATTCTTTTGTGCTTTTTACTCCTATGTATGATAATTTAGGCCTATTGCCGTTTTGGTCTTTCAATTTTAACTAATATTGCCCTTTTGGCCCATTGCCGTTCTGGTCAAAAAGTGTTGCCATTTTGGTTTATTGCCGTTTTGTCCAGAAACCAAAAAACCAATTCAAGTAAATATAACATTTTTATTCATAAATATGAAAGTTAAAAAGATAAAAGAATGCTAACAAGTTATATTAGGCCTATATGTCTAGTACTTTATAGGCCCTATTTCTATGTAAATAACATTCATTAACAAGTTTTAATTAATTAAAATAAAATTAAAATACATTCATTCACTGCTTCATATCTTCTTCGTTACACCCCCTCCTCTTGAACCACTCAATAATGATAATAATTGTTCAAATTCATCAAAACTTCCAAAAAGTAGGGCAACAGGCCTGGATGTCTAGCCTAGCCAAGGTATAGCACGTGTGACCTAGGCATAGGCAGGCATGCACCCGTCCCTACCCTGGTACCCTAGGGTAAATAAAGAAAGATTTCTATCTACTGTATCTATTTATATAATCTATGCCTAGGCCTAGGTCTGCTGCCGCCGCTGGCATTTTCTCCGTTGTTGTTGGCTGGGCCTACAAAATTATCACTACAGAAAACACTTTTAATTAACCCTTAATTCAAGCTTACCTTGTAAAATTTGTCTAGAACTCATCTTGAGGAACAATATAAATCTTACGCTATACGTACAAAACTCTTTTCAAACCTGTTGAGGGTAATAATTACTCTAGAAGTTACACAACGATTACCCTAGGCCTACTCGCGTTCACGTCCCCATGAAGTTTATCATGCAGGATTTTGTTTTGTTGCCAAGGAAAACGCTTCGGAAGTACTGTAAATGCAAATCATCTGTTCACCTTTAGCATTTGACCTTTCAGGTAAACAACTCGAGAAATCCAGAACGTTAGAAATTTACGGCTGTGTGAAGACCCGTGTTTGTTAACAACTATAATGGCTCTCTTCTCATTAAGATTTCAAAGTTTTCCAATTATGAAATTAAGATTATGTTATCCATTATTCAGACCGCCATGCGTAAGTCCATCGTACAAACTTTCTTCTTGTCGTAAGCCTTCGTGATGAATCTTAATCATGTACGGTGACAGAGTGTTTGTGCCTTTTTTTGGTGACCCCCATCACAGGGTGTACAGTGTATTCTTCTTTATGGTTGCTGGAATTTGCTTGATTGATAAAAAAATGATATTATATTTATAACTCCTATAGTTCAACATTATATTCAATAGGATCTGTAATATATAAAATATATAGAGGTTCCTTATTGGATGGTATTGTTGTCCTCAATACATCTTCGGTAATGAATAAATACAATGACAACAAAATTTTTATATTTTCAAAACTTTAAAAAACAATTCTTCTCATTGATTTTGCAGGTAAACTCAAGTACCGCAAATACCACTAAACTTCAAAAAGGAATAAAAGGAACATACATTGCAAAGAAAATGCCAGCTTTCAAGAAATTAGAGGCCAACAAACGATATTCATGGTGTGCATGTGGATTAAGTCAAAAGCAGGTAAACAATCTTAGGCCAATGTAAAAAACAAATAGTTTCTCATCCAAAATTTCTGACCATCGTCTTTTTCAGATCAAGCTTTCTCTATGGACCAAGTAATTAGAGTGATGATACCAAATTTCATCTACACACAAAGTAGAGGGTTATAGTTACTGTAGTTTATAACATTTCCAAAAAAAAATTGTTGATGGGGTTTTTTGTACACCGTTTAAGTAACCTTTTCTTAACTTGTAAGATACTAAAAGGTTTTAGATGACATTACAGTAATTGCAATCATTCTCTTTCAGCCATTTTGTGATGGAAGCCATAAAGGAACTGAATTCAAGCCAATTAGAATGAAATTTGAGCAAAGCAAGTCAGTCCTCTTATGCCAGTGCAAACAGACAAGTAACCCACCCTACTGTGACATGACCCATGTATCTGTCATATTCTCCTCACTCAAAAATATTTTCAAAAAGTAGTTGCAATGTAGTACGGCCTGCTTTATTATCAACTTTTGTCTTAATTTCTAATATAGTTAATATAATTTACTTAAAAGTTTACTTTATTAGTATGATAATATATGAAATTTATGTTCTTGCAGTAGGTTGACTAAGCTCCATGAAAATTACTTTAATCAACATTTTTGAGAGAAAGTTTCACTGTTAATACCTGGAGGTTGAGGAATCTTCAGGACCCCTGGTACTTGGTGCTTTGTCCACCCCCCTTAAAACATCTTTGTACATTATAAGACAGTATACGGTACCATATGTTCTATTATGATGTTATCTAGGTAAAAGTAATTCTTGCTTTTATAGTGTCTGTCTACTGTACACTCTATTGGATTTAAAATGGTGAGGGTTTGAACCAACTGTTTATGGAAAATAAACACATTAGAAAAAAATTATATAATTGTCATTTTCTGATTATTTATTTGATTATAACTGAATTAAATAGAACAGTAAATGAATGTATGCAAGTTGTATACATTGAATTATTATAATTATGTATTTCTGAATATTCAAGGTTTGGTTAATATGCATATAGCACAGCTGATAAAAAACATTGCATAACATTGACAACACTGTCTACATAGCAAATAAATGAATACATTACCTCTGTATGTGGTCTCACATTTACATTCCTCCATTTTGATACCAAGACAATTTGTAATGACTTAATACTTGACGATACTGTTTATTTTCTAATATCGGCAGCATAATTTACATTCATTTATTGATTGGTATTGTTGCTATGTTATATAGCATAATACAGTCAAGAACACCAACAGACTACTATGTTTGTGAGCATTGGCAGAAAGTGCAATTAAACATTATTATTTATAAATACAGTATTTGCAAGAGCATATTGATTTTTTTTTTGTCAATTTATATTAAAATATCACTATAAAAAAATTAGTATGCTTTTCAGCATATACTAGGCAAAGACTTACTAGCAGTTGAACCCGAAGTACTGACAAGAAAATTATGAAAAATAAAGATTAACCAGAATTGCATCCTGTTGGTTGTTGAATGCATAAATGTCCTTGATTTTGATAGTGTGCTGTTAACGAATAGAGTACCTAAACACCCCTCATAAACAATTGCATATATTTTGGTGTTAACAATTTGTTTTTGTAAACCATCACCATCATTCTGTTTTTTGTATGTTTTGCCATTAGACATGGCTTATGAATACATATAGTTATCTAGTCAGACCTTTCCATATTTTGCGATTATATATACCACATCCTCGCGTCTGATGTGTGGGTTCTTGTCAAAAATAGTTTGTACAACTACTATATCAGACTTCTCAAGTACTACGAAGCTTCCTTAGTTAGGACTAGTTGCTACGGAAATTTTGCACAATCATCAATGTACGGAAATAGACAAAAATACTATGGAAATTGATCATAGGCCTAAATCCATAAATACTTGATATCCAGAACAATGACTTTTCCATCAGGATCTTTATTTACATTGTCCCCAGACAGTTCAGACTTGTCGGATTACTGATAAATTATTGTGAGAACTAAGAAAATGACCCGTAAATTTTCATCCCATTTGTTTGAAATTCCACATCGAATTACAGACAATCGGGCCCAAGGACAATCAGACTGAATTTGAAAGTGGGCCCGATTGATCGTCCTGAAAAGTGACCCATGTCTTCATCCTGTTTAGTTTCAGCAACCCATATCTTGCACTCAAGATTTTATTAGGTGCTATGCAAATTGTTCATTTGCTACAGAAATCTGAAGACAGTTACAGAAATGCATTTTACAAACTTGAAAAGTCTGCTTATTAATATGTTGCAATTGGATGTAAATAAACATACACAAATTTGCAGTTACTAAAATATAATGTTTTAAAGTGCAGTACAGTATATGAATGCTAAAATAAACAACACAAAAATTACTTTATCAGGCAAACCAAGTGCATTCATTTATTTGGTATTGTACCTTTTTTTCTTGGACAAAAATAATTATATAATTTTGCAAAGTACAAATACAATCTTGCCAAAAGCAAGCAATAGGCATGAACCTAACACAAATATTCTGTTGCTCTATTATCATAAAGAAGAGATACTGCATTGAATCAGGAAAATTCATAGCCACATTTTTTGGATTATGACAATAAATTACAGTAATTACATTTTATATCTATTAACCTTCAGCAGTAAGTCCTATTTCCCTTCACTCTCCACTATCCTTACTGTATAGAAAATGGCTTAATTATATTCCAAAACAGTACAGTATTTAGAAAATGTTTAAATTATTGAATCAGGAAAATTCATAGCCACATTTTTTGGATTATGACAATAAATTACAGTAATTACATTTTATATCTATTAACCTTCAACAGTAAGTCCTATTTCCCTTCACTCTCCACTATCCTTACTGTATAGAAAATGGCTTAATTATATTCCAAAACAGTACAGTATATAGAAAATGTTTAAATTAGTTTAATTGATATGATTTTCATTATGAACAAGCATAACAATATAAACTAAATGTTATCTTCCATTTGGTTTGAAAACCAAAGGGCTCTTCCATCTATTCAATATCTGGTGACCGCAGAAGACTTTGTAATATCCGATTTGCTGTGGATTCCTGCACAATATATAGCAGAAGGGTTTGTCTGCCATTTACTTGATTCATGGACGTAGATAAGATTTGTCTGCAATATGGTGCCCAACCTTCAGTTCATCAATTTACTACTCAATTAAAAAACTTCAAGAAAAGATTTTCTGTCTAAAATCGGTACTTCTTGAATAGTGGATGAACCTTTGTTTTGGATGATTTGCTATAGGGCATGTAAACTTGGTCATCACCACCAGACATGGAGCTCATCGCACCTGCCCGTCTGCTAACCTGTGCAATAAAAAAAAATTGAGATTTCTTTATATCATTTTTTTTAGTTTGAGGGCACTGTGACATGTGTGAGCAGCCAATGCCACAGCATCTTATCAGGTATATCAGGTATCCAGTTCCTCTCCTAATAAACTGCCCAGGACTGCCACGGCTAAAAACAACTCCACCACCTAAACTTTATAATGAGAATCTTGTATGCATGTTTGTCTTGTGAGGAAATATGCCACATAGAAAAGTGATTAAGTTCACTGTTTGGCATATTCTTGGCACTAAAAAGTTAATAATATTACACAATAAAGATTAAGACACAAGCACAGTTGAGCCCCTAACTTCATGGTAGTGAATCAAATTGAAAACAACTGACTGAAATTCAAAACCAAAAAATGCTGTTTTTCAAGATTGCAAAAAAGGTATGACCTTGAAATCTGACAATCTAATACAGTAAACATTAACAAGAATATTGGCTTACTTGTGATGAGCCTGGTCTCATTTCACCTGCAACCCTCTCCTCTTCAGCATCCTCGTCTGTGGCAGCCATCACCTGCTGTAACAGTGTCTGCTGCTCTGCTTTTGTTGAATATTTTAGGTTTTCCTTTGATTAAAAGATAAATACATCTAATTAAAACAGCTGTAGGCTAGTGGTTAAAATGCTTATGAATAACAAATAGCATTGGATGGATGGATGGATGGATGGATGGATGGACTTCAGTGTAAAGACTTTCTTCCAGCAGGTGTTTCTGGTGGTGATTTGGCAGTACACCCAGATACAATCCAAGAATCCATCTTTAAGAATTTATTTTTCATTTACCTTTCTCTGACTGTTAAAAGTGTTCAGAAATTAAGCTACATGCTACAGAATGTTTTTCCCGTAGGAATAACTTTCAAATTATTGGAAAGGAAGAAATACTTTGAGATAGATGAGCCGCAGATTGAAAGAGCTCATAGAGATGCGAGAGTAAAAAAACAAGAGAGGCCAAGACATATAACTGTCAAAATGTTGTTGTATCAAGATAAACTGCTTGTTATGAAAACCAGAGATAAACACTCAAAAGCTCCCTCCCTTTTGACAAATGATTTGACGAATCTTGGTATGATTAAAAGAAAAAATGTAAGGAGGTGGTTCAGGCTGCATATGAGGCGGGTACTCAATTTCATTTCTCCGCTGGCAAATGGAGAGGAAACTCATTTTTACAATGCGCCAATTGGTGGTACCATATAACCAACACATTTATACTAGCTCAACTCAACAGAAATGGATATGATTTTTGTTACTGCTTTTGTCCTTCAACAATTAGTAATTATTCTTACATGATATTGTCTTTAAATCATGGTCTTGTTCATCTTGTCATTGATTAAAGCTTTCTAGGACCCTGCATTGCATTTTGCTTGATATATTATATTTAATTATTAAATTTTTTTGTTTAATAAATATTTGTTTTACTATGTTCCTATGTTTTGTTTTGTACTTATTTTTGTATTTATCAGTAGCGTTAATGCACTATCACTAATTTTAATGAGTACTGCTTACATTATAAAAAAAAATGGTTGTACATATATTCATCAATTTATCCTTAAAAATATGTTTAATTATTCATAGACGAATGAATTACATTTGGATGAAAGCGATTCTGTGAACTACAGTTTTAAAACCAGCACAAACATAACTCCTGATGAATTTAATAGCTTCTAAAAAATCAATACTTCCAGATTCTTTTTCTATTTTCCATACTAATATTCATTCAATGAACATGAATTTTGAGGAATTTACTACAGTTTATGATTTACTAGGTGATCTTAAAATTACTGCACTGTCTGAAATCTGGTGTATTAAAAACCTGGAATTTTATTCGAAGGATTCATACTCATTTGAATATAGGCGTCGAGAACTTGGCAGGAGTGGTGGTGTTGCTGTTTATATTCACTCATTTCTGAATTATAATGTCTTAGATTACCATGTTAATCATTGTGAAATGCTATGCCTAGATGTGTCAGACAGACAAAACAATATTATAGTTGGTATTATTATTATTTATAGGCGATGCAATACTAATGTTTCTGAATTTTGTGATAGCTTACTAAATATTTTATTTTAACTTAAAGTAGATTAAAAACGATGTGTTCTTATTGGAGATTTTAATTTTGACCTTTTGAAACTGTTAGACAATGATTGTCAATCTTTAAATTCAAGTCATAATTGCCTTAATATACATCAAATTCTTTCCATTCCATCCAGAATTGCTTTCTATGTTGCTATCATTTGGAACAATCTACCTTTTGAGTTAAAAAAACAAAAATCAAGGTTTGCTTTTTCATCACAACTTAAAATACTACTTTTATCAGAGTATACATAATAACATAATTCAGGTCTACTATTAATGTTATACAACCGTTTTTGATTTTTTTATTAAAAATCTCAAAGTTTTAGTATTACCTTATTATTATTATTATTATTATTATTATAAAAAATATTTATGTAGTTTAAGAGGGATGGGGGTGAGGTGCCAAGCTTGATTAGACCTTTTGTATTCATTTGTTTGATACAATAAAGAAATAATGAATTACTGTACATTACTAATGTAGTCAATGTATTACTAGCATTTTAAAATTTACCTCATCAATTCCTGCTAACTTAGTGATCACCTTGAAGCTGTACCCTTGATTAACCAAGAAACTTTGACGCTTCATTGAGTAGTACATTTCCTGGGTATCCTGGGAGACCAGTGTGTAAAAGAATGCATTGTATTCTTCAGCTACAGCTCCTGTCACATGAAAAGGGAGATACAGGTTTATCAAAAGCACATCAAAATTGCGATTTGCAAATGGAAAATCAACACAATCTCTTTGTTCCGTAATTTTCTTTTTAATAGTGGCTCTTACATTACAATCACCAAGGAACGCACACAACTGTCAGAGAGAATTGTAAGCATTTTGGTTTATTAAAATGTAAAAGGATGCATTATTTATATGCGAGCCAACCATGAGAGAATCTATTCTATATTTCATTATGAACTTTTGATATATTTACCTTTTTTTGCGCGGAGAATTCTTCCCAAACGTTGAGCCTCTTGTCGACGTGAGCCTCCATGTGAGGATATTTGAATTAGGACATTAGCTTCCGGAAGATCAAAAGAATTATCACCAACCTATAGAAATAGAATTAATATAGCAACAAATGTATTCCATAAGAATAGATATTTTAAAAATATCTTAAAGACAAAAAGTACATAGTAAGGTACATACCTTAGAAATGAATATTGTATTTACAGCTGGGTTGTGTACAAAGTTTTGTAGAATGTGTAGACGTTCTGACTGAGTGGTTGGTCCATAGATGAAAGGCCTAGTGAAAAATTATACCAAACAAGAATTGACCTAAAATTGTAACCACTCTAACTACCAAATATCTTTCTGATAACTCAAATTCACAGAAAAAAATTAGAGCATTGAGAAGCATATACCTGATGCAAATTAGATGATATTAATTATTTTATTTATGTTACATTACACAATAAAACAGGAAGGATCAACTTACTTTTCCATGGCTTTAGCATAGTGGATGAGAGCAAAGACATTATCTGAAAACACAATCACTTTGTCGTTGCGTTGCTCGTGGAATTTAACCAAAAACTGACAGGCTCGGAACTTATTTGGATTCATTACATACACCAACTGTGGAAAGATAGAAGGGAAAAAAGAAACAGACCACATTAAAATATTAATATTTAATAAGAATACTTACCAGATGATCAGTGCATGGATTACTGTAAAACCAGAAACTTTCGGCACAAATTTTTCACGAATCAATAATTTCGGCCGTTTTGACGGCATTTAACTTCTGTGAATCGCAAAAGGCCTAAATTCTATTCATGAAAGAAATACCATACAATAGCTGAAAATATCGTATCATGAGTTGTAGGCCTAGGCTAGATAGGCATACAGCCACTGCCTAGGATACAGTAGCAGGCCTAGGTAGGTGCCATAAGCCTGCCTACCTCAGCTGATCTAGGACTTACTGTTAATTATGACAAAGAAACGAAAGACACAGAGTATTCACTCGTATGATATTCATAAATTTTGTATAGTATTCAATCAAAACGTGTTTTATTAACAAATTATTTTCCTGTAATATTGATTCAAACATCGTGGTTATGTCATGCTATGAAAATTAGACTTTTCTTAGTATACACCTTGCAGTACACCATTAGTCAACTTATCAAAACTCACCAATCGTTTTCTATTTCTGATGCTCAGGTATTCACGATAGAACTCTGGGGTCATAGGGCACCAGACCTCTGCACACTGTACTTTAGCAATGTGTCCATTATTTTGTAACTCCATCCAATTTGCTTCATACAGTTTTGGACCGATGAGGAAGTTGAGATCTGCGATCTTGTCATCCTCCCTAACGAGTGTTGCAGTGAGGCCTAGTTTGCAATGTGCTTGTACTTCAGTCAATACTCTCCTGAACTGCTTGGCTGGAATTGTATGCACCTCTGAAAACAATTGTACACAAAAGCATGATGAAAAATAGGCTCCTGATAGAAATTTGAGTATACTGAAGCAAGTCTAAATTACTCTATACATAGTCCATTATCCTACAAGGTGCTATCAATTATTGGTCATCTGTTAAAACATAGGACCACTTACCAACTCCCTGATAAAACTACATTCACACTATACTTGGCATGACTGTCATGTGAAATGAACTGAAATGAACCTTAACACATTCCACTTTACACAGCATAGCATACAGTATATCTGCACAAGCACAGTATACTAAAAATTAATTATTTTGTAATACCATACACTTAAACAAATGTGAGATTACTTGCTATTACCATTCCATTTTTACAAATTGTTTTTAAACCCAAAAGTAAAAAATACTTTCACTTACAGGTTCTACAGATATGCACATTTAATTCTTTTTTATATATAAACATTTCAATACTTTCTATAATACAAGTAACCAATTAGAAATATATAATATACACAAAAATATATGATTATTAAAAAGTGTTACAAATATATGAATTAAGTACACACTAGCATAGCATAACTTAAACCTAGCTTACCGTCCAAAACCATCAGTCCCCACTCCTGGCTCTTGAGCCATTTAATCACCTGCTCAGCTTCCCAGGATCGTTTACTGCTGTGAGAGATCATGGAATATGTACTAATGCATATTGTACAACCTGAAAAAGTAGATACAATTACAGTGAAGAGCGAGTCATTAGTTACATTAATACAAGAGACATGAAAAGTTTGACAGACATTGCCCTCTAATTCAAGACCACATTTGAGACCTGGAAATTATGAGTGCAATATACATACCTACTGGTTTATCTTTAGCATCTGAGGTGAACCTGCATATCATGGTATCATCAACTGTAGACCACATCTTGAACTGTGACCTCCACTGTTCAACTGCGACTCCACTGGTGCACAGGACGATACAACGTTTACGTACTGTACAGGCCGCTGTCACGCCAACAAGGGTCTTACCGGCACCTACCAACAAACAATATAGATATTTAGGTATTACTATTCTCAAATAAATTGGGCTGAAATTTGAGATATTCTATAAACCTATAAACTACAAGAATAAATGGAGTGGAGTTGTTTTCAAAAATTGAAAAGTCCACTGATTAATCTCAGATGAGAATGTATAATACATACTACAAGTATTGCAATGCACGCCATCATGTTGGGATTCAGCATATTTCAACATTAATTATGTCATCATCAGTTTTGTTGAATTGTATTCTGACACAAGGAAAAAACCTGTCGGTTTATCTACAATTCACTTACCACATGGCAATACAATGATTCCAGATCTTGCACGTCCATTACCAAACATCTTGCGCAGACTCTTTTCCTGGTAGGGCCTTAGTATTGTTGTAGGTTTTAAGTCAATGCTGAAAGACGTGACATAATAATGCCGTGTGAATGAGAGCACCCAAGGATTCTGTACTCTACCGCACTAACATTAACTAGCATTAAATCACCTAAACTTCTTTCATAAACCAAGCTTGTATTTAATTTTTTTTGTTTCCTGCAATTCATGTATGTAATGTTTGTACCATCTCGAAAAGAAGCCTATGCTATCTTGTAAAGAAGCCCATGGGACTCTTTTCGAGATGGGCTTCTTTTCGAGGCTAATTTTGCAAACTAAAGAGGGGGGGCTTCAATTTGAGGTTTTATGTTATGTACACTTAATAGGGGCACATTATAAACAGGATTTGGACATGAGAAACACTGGCTGATACCTCTACTCATATCATTGATTGTACTAATAGCTGATCAGCCTATTGAACAAGGTTGAGTTCAACTTACTTGAGGTCAGGATTGTTTGTGTCGTTCCTGAAGTCATACTCAGCTAAGAGTGGGAAGTCCAACTCAATACATCTGTGAAGTAAATTGGAATAAACAATCCAAATACATAAATATGCTCCAGATCATCAACACAATCAACATTTTTATGTTTGTAGGATTTGATTCCAGAAGTAAATTTCTTTTGCAAGATGAACAGACAAAAATGTAACTGTTAAATTTGGAGGCAAGCATTATAACAACCAGGTGTTACACTTTGTGGCTGGAAATTATACATTTATTTTTATTTATTTATTTGTTTATTTATATTATCACACCTATGTTTGCAGATACAAAGCACTTTTCTTCCAGGTCATTGAGTCCACATCATACATATGTTAGTGGAACCTGTTTTGTAGGTGAGTGACTCATTATAGGGAAGTCATTTTTTTCTTATTGTGATTTCTACCAAGTCACATATCACATTTCCTTATTGCAAAATCAAATAATTTGATAAACAAGTAATAAATGTAATACCTTTTTTGTAGTTTTTCAATCTCTTGTTGCTTTACTTCAAAGGACACGGTTTGTAAATCTTCACCTTCTTCATCTTCTTTATCAATTTTATCATAGAAATCATAAATATCACTCGGAATGGCATCTTTGTCATTTCCATTCTGTTCAACTGTTTCAGATTCGGCAGTGCTGGTAGCAGGCTTGTTGAGCTTTTAAGAGAAAGTGAGTGTAGAATGGAAATGGTAAAGAATGGAGGGATTGGTAAAGCAAAAGACAATACAATAATAAACCTTTATTCATCTAACATTGTAAAATAAAGAAACAGAGTGAATTACTTAAAATAAAACCATATGTAAACAAATATTAATGAACAAAAAAAAAAGCTTCAGGTGTTTTTTTTTTAGGAGTTAAGTAGCCACAGGGATAAACAAATATATTTTAGTATAATTTCTATTTTTCAGGTATAAACACTTATGAAGCAGGAACATGAGCTATTTAGGACATAGAAACAGCATATTGAGTTCAATGAAGGTTTCAATAATGTTCAATTTATATGAAGATAACATTATTTGTTATTAATAAATCGGTCCTTTTATATAATTATATTTGTCGTCATCAAAACAAGACTGATAGTACTAAAAAAAAAACAAAAGGCCAATTGGTCAGCATATGGCAAATAATAAATAATGATGATCATGACGATATGTAATAAAGTACAGCTGGCTAAAACAGTCAACACACCTTCAATGCTGACTTAATGGTGGTTTGTGATTTGATCAGGTCATCCGTATCTGCTAGTGTTTCATCTTCACGCAAACGACAAGCCTGAATCTCATGATCTTTAAGCAATTTTTGTAAAACCTCCTGAAAATAAACGAAAGAGTAAACAGTAAATAGAAAATTTAACCCTAAAAAACAGAAAACTATTAGTAAAACAAAGTAGTAAATCCAGTCCACAATCATAGAATAATATTCTTAATTAAATCAATTACATCTGACTTTTATAATGATCTTAACATTTTTTGGCATCCTAGTATTGTCATAAAGGAATAAACAAATACTTACTGGAAATGCACTCTCAACAAAGTAACGATTGTGTTTAAGAACAAGTTTAAGCTTTCCATAGCTCACAGTGCATAGCTAAAAAAAAAAAAGAGATGAAAATTTCAAAATTGTAAATTCTGTCTACCCACTTTTAAACATAAAACATAATTAAAAATTAACATCATTGTCAATTTTTTTTTTCATATTATCTTTGGAACATGTACTTATCCAAAATATGATTATTATTGAAAAATGTGTGATTTCGATAGATTGCAATTTGTAATAAGGAACAGGTTTTACCTTAATGAACTCAATGATTCCCTCTGGAATAGATGTCTTACTAAGGCGCCTCAGATACTCTATGATGTCACTGGTTTGTAGGCCAACGGAGACAGCTGCATACAGTGAATATGGAGTGAGCCTGAAATTAATTTTTTTTAAATAAAACCCTTGATTAAATTAAAAACTTTGATCACTCTTGGTACTGAAGCATGATCTACGGCACAAAGATAAAATGATGCTTTTAGCACCTTCAATTCATAATTCATACTATCAGACTATCCATGTATGTAAACTTTGAAACAAATAGATACATGGATTTCTTGAAGCAAAACAAAGGGTGTAAAATAGGTAATGGTAGGATTTTTGTTGTGCCTGATTTCTTTCTTTCTTCCAATTCTTCTTTGGCCTGGTCCATGACTACTATAGCAAACATAGAGAGATGCTCAGTAGATTCATATTCACATCATTCTACAACAATAAGGGTTGAAATAAACTAGAGCATCAGGGTCTAACCCACTACTCCTCCAAAACACACAATGGGTTCTTTGAAGTGTAAACAAGGCAAATGTGTACACTGGACAGGTTCACTTACTTGTATTCGTGTATATGCTCTGGACGACATACAGGCTCAGAAATTGCAATAAGGAAGTCGTGAGCATGCTTGTATACAGGTGAGAAGGACTCCAGAAAGATGTGGCCATCCGGTGCCTATGAGCAAACACACAATATCATTAAACGAGTCACATTGACATATTGCATCTTGTGTCAACACATTAACCAAAACAGACTACATCTGAATGTTGAAATAATGAGTTTTTCCACTTCAAAATCTATGTTATTGTTACTTGTAAAGTTATTCATTCAGTTAGTAGATTTACTTAGTAAAAATTTTATTTTGTGATGAACAAATGTATTAAGATATCGTCAATACAAACATATTACTATAAATCAATATCAATTGATACATATCATTAATATTATCAATGCATATCATAATCATGTTTGACAAGGCGTTAGGTAAAATTCATATCTTTAGTGTTAACATACTAGTTTTACTACATGTTCCAAAGCAGTGGTTCCCAAACCTTTTGGGTTCACAGACCCTCTGGACATGTCAAAAGTCTTCACAGACCGCCATATCTAAATATTACTCATACATGTCCATATCCCAACAATAATTATAGATTATTATATAGATAGAAGATGATTCACCACAAAAGTACAACAATAACAGTGGCGAATCCTTGAATTCAAAATAGAAACCACCTCAGCGCCATCATGGTTAGGGCTGAGGTACAACTTTTTTTTTTTACGCCATTTCTAGATGGCCAGAAATGGCACTGTCAGACTCCAAATTTGAAGGTGATTTAATCTCATATTTAATTTTCAATTTGTAAAATTTAGTGCATCTCATGGTTAACAGAAGATGATTTGCCAAATTATGACATCTTTGATTTTGGAATTTGACATAGACAGGAGGGGAGGGGGTGCAGACAGTAAATTTTACAAATAGGGGATTTACGCTACCTCAGCCCCACCGAAATTTTATGTTTATGGCACTTGTAGATGGTCGGAAATGACACTGTCAGACTCAAAGTTAGAATGTAATATTCTGTTATGCTCCATTTACTTTTAATTTTGTCAAATTTAGGGTTTCCTCCTGATTTTTAAAATTTATTCAATATCCAGGTAAAAGAAATACTAGAGGAAACATGGAAACAAGATGTACATTTCCTGAGGATTGTAACTATCAAGTGGCTCTCCTATAATAAACATCTTCACATAAAGAGTACATAAAACACTAATTTAAATATTCTATCAGATCTCCAATAAAATATAATGCCAGTTAAAAAAATTTACAGTGAATGAAGTTTATGCCTGTTTTTTGTCAATGCATGATCACACTGTTGTAAGACAAGAAAAAAATAATGGAATCATGAAAAAGTTGTTTTAATCCGTGCGGACCTACACATTTTTACGCAGACCACCAATTTTTTTGCAGACCCCCTGCGGACCCCTGTGATTTGGCAGACCCCCAATATTTTTCGCCGACCCCAGGTTGGGAACCACTGTTCTAAAGGTTCAATCCCCACATAGATAGAAAGGGTATTAAATTGATTATTGACATGAAAAGTTCACTCACCACCCACAGCGGTCTAGATCCATGATCATCTTTAAGCTTCAGCACTGACCTGTAGTCTTTAGCTCCATACTCATCCTGCTTAGTTGCCTCATCCACCTTTTTAAAAGCCCCCTCTGGAATTAATCCTGAATCATTCCCTTATAATAAAAAAAAAAATAAAAAAAATTGTAGTTTATTAATTTTCTGTTTCTTTTTCTTTTTAATAGGTTTAGCTATAGCTTCCAATAAGACACATCAAAACAATTCAATTTTCACTGATATAAAGATTTTTATTTAAAATAATCCTTAAACTTAATTACCAGCAAAATAATAGTTTAATACTAAGAAAATTGTAATTGATAATATATTTTTACTGTCATTATTTTAATTGAAATATGATAATGAATACCATCCTGAGTGTCATCATCTTCATAATCTGGTTCAGCTACCTTTGGCTTCTTAGATTTCCTGCCATCTGCAAAATTTAAATTCATTTTAATAAGTAAAAAATTGTTTTAAAAATAATAATTACCATGTCATATCTGAATTTCACCACTGTTTTTGAAAATGCAAAAAGATAATCAGTACAATTCAATATGTATTCCACCGCTATCTTGACAGTGGCTTTTGTTACACCAGTCTTAAACCAATACATAACTAATTGGATGTTATTGTATGTATGGATTGGGACAATAATATCCAATCAGAATTGTTTTAAAAATGTTACACCAGTCTAGTTTTAAAAGAATGTTACACCAGTCTTAAACCAATACATAACTAATTGGATGTTATTGTATGTATGGATTGGGACAATAATATCCAATCAGAATTAACCTAGAAATTGGTTTTAGAATGGTGTAACAATCACCACTGTCTTACTATATTATAAAAAGGGTCCATATAAATGTAGGTACAACATTGCTAGGTTAGGAGACACTTTGACTTACCCTCGTTTTTCCTGTCTCTTTTATTTTTCCCCATATAAAATCAAAACACAGAACGCTCTAGGGCCTAGCACTAATAAGTAGAAGCGCTTTTTATTCAGGTGGAGGCCAACCGAGCTCTCATTAGCTGGGATAACTACAGAGGCGCAGGTTGAGACTGTGGCTCTGACTTCACCGGTTACCTTCTTCAGTAGTTATCAAATGCATGTAGGCTAGGCCAATATCAGTAACTGATGATAAGAAGATAATATTTAATTACGCATGTAATAGTGTTTGAGAAACGTTTAACCTATCTGAATCAATTCAACAATTTAGGGTATTTGTGTGAGCACTGTACAACACAAGCAGAGCCGAGTAAATGCCGACATCGGGAATTTTTGGGAAAATTAAAAAGTAGATATTGCTCTTTTCTAGTGTATCTGCCTCCCTCTATTGTTGATTGACAACGCCGATTGATTTTTTTACAGTAGGCCCAGGCTAGGCCTCTAGGCCTAGGGCCTAGGGCCTAGGCCTAGTAGGTAATAATTAATTATTACTTGTTAAATGTATACAACATTACATATTCAACAAACCTCCTAATATTTTGTAAATAATCTTCAAAGAAATAGATTACATAAGTATACACAATACACCGACGCAAATTTTACAAAGAATTAAAATGGTTTCAAATCACTTTTCATCATAAAGAGTGGATTTGTTTTGAAAGCGAAAAGAAAAGAAATTTGCCATGTGGTAATCCTCTCTGGGTTGACAGCGTATCAGAAGTAAGTAACTTGTTAGATATCTATTTCGTTTTATAACATGATAGTTCGGATCTTTTGAAAACAATAAGGTAAGACTAACAAACACGTCTATTTTGGTAACCGTAATGCTAGCATAGGCCTGTATGTATGCAAAGGCGGTGTTACCACAAACAAGGAACAACTGCCTGCTGCACAACCTTGCCAGGCTGGGGTGGAGTCCGTATTGAATTATTAGGCCTCTCTCCAGCTAGGCTACGGGCATACACTAACTGGGCCTAGCTTTTTAGAACTGATGAAGGTAGGTTCTGAATGCAAATACTGAATGGCGAATGTTTGTACACTTATTCAGTACCTCTGTCAATATCAACAGTGATTTTATTTCATTAAATAATATAATTCTTAAACTTTTTTGCAGATTTCTCAGCATGAAAATAAAGAAAAAACAGCAACCTCATAATTTAAAGCGTTATAAAAAGTCTGTCATCAAGTTGCTAGAAAAGAATGACAAGGACGACCAAACAGAGTCAAACCTACGTGACCCTAGGCTCAGGAAAAAGGTTGGCAAGTCTCGGAAAGACAAGAGAAGAGAGGCAAAGAAATTGAAGAAGGCTAAAATCCATGCATTCCACTCAAAACACAAGGTACAGTATGTATTTTCAAATTCTCTGAATTATTTCAATTGGATAAACATAATATAATATGTATGTTTTGTTTTTTGAGAAATTTAATATGGTATGGGCATTTTCAGGTACATGTTTGAAAGGTCTTGAGAGCCCATCAATAACAAATATTGATAAGTTTAAAACATTTGAGTCAAAAAAGTCAAGAACATTAATTTCTTTACAGATACAATCAACTGAGAATAAGTCTGAAGAATTGCAAAGTATAAAGAAGAAGGGGAAGAAAAAAAAGGAATCAGGCTCAAAAGATTTAAACATTAAAAAGAAGGTGAGTTGAGTTGTCTATATATAGTGAATATGAGAATACATTTTTCAACCATTCTATTAACTTTTTTTTTTAAATGTGACCAAGAATATTCTTTATTCTTTATTCTCAACCAACAGTGTAAAACACCGATAATAGCTTGAAATAAAATTTTCAGTAAACAGAGCATAAATATATACAATACAAATTAAAAAACGAGTTCATTAATAATGCTTTTAAATTGCGAGTAATTACAGTTAAAAATATCCAAAACATTATTCTTTAAAAGACAAGCGTTATAAGCTGACGAAATTCTACGGAAAATACCATTTTTACAAACATTTACACGAGAATATTTAACATGAAGAAAAGGTTTATAACGAAGATTACGAACA